CACTAGCATCTCAATTTTATTGGTAAAAAACAGCTTTATTTCTGTAACAAACATTCTTCCTCCAGCTAATTGTAGTAACTTATTTTGTGACTGCTTAGGGCAATGAACCTAACAACATAATCATCAGTATTTCAAGAAATACTGTCATCAAATACCACCAGATTGTCCCTAAAAAGTCACAGTTGTCCTGTCATGTAGTCAAGGTGTTGTTGCACAGCACAGGACATTGTGTGATTGTGGCCTACTTGTCACAAAAATTGGAACTATATTTATCTGTCTGCTGAATCCCATGGGAAGAAGTGCTGGATGAGGGGTCTGGCAGGACTTCTTTAGGGAGAGAGCTGTTCTGGAGGAAACTTTGAGCAGGGGGCAAACAGATCACTCAGGGCTGGTGCAGGGTACCTGAGCCATGGCCAAGGTGGGCCTTAGGACAACGGGACTGGAAGATTAAAGGCTGCACTCATTTGGCTACAGAAAAAAGTAAATTTGTCAGTCCTTAATCCCTTGGGGTAGGAAACTGTTCCCTGGCTGTGGCTGCACTGCTTCTGCTGCAGTGTTATTGCAAAGTATTTCACCCCCTGCTCTCCTGACTCTGGTCCTGCCACTAGCTTCCTTTTGCCTTTTTATAAATCAATGAATGCACTAAGCAATAATACTAGGGAGGCAAACAAAAAAAGTGCCTACTGAAGAAATTGTTAGAAGCAATTCACGTTTTATTTTCAGCTCAGCAAGGTAGCAGGTTCACTCCTTCGCTGCTATTTACACAGCAATGTAACACTAGAAGCTGTGCTCCAGTTTTCTCCAGGTACAAACATAAACCCCAGAAGATTTTAGGTTATAAAGGTCCTGTGGACATCATCTGATCACTTGCAAAAACAGGTCAACTTCAAACTCCGGGCTAGATTTCAGCTTTGGTGCATGTTACCAGTGTCACAAAAGAGGGAAATGAACTTAGAGCTTGTGTGAGCTCACAGATTGCAAGCTCACCTCTCCCTAGGATTTCAAAACAGCAGTGACAATGCTCAAGTACCTCTGAAAATGACTGAGAGACTCAGAGAAATCTCTCCTCCCCCTTCTCTACCACTTTGAAGACTGTCTGTCACAAGGTGAATGTGAACATCACCAGCGTGATCCTGAATGGAGCCAGGAGCAGACTCAGACCTCCTGTGGCAGCTGCATTCATTCCTTGCAGTGTGGCAGGTGACACAGGAGCAAGGAGCACAGCTCTTCCTAGAGAAACTTCACAGGAATCAGGCCTTAGCACAGCTCTCCAAGGAATACTTCCTAAGACAAGGCCCACAGAGGTCACTGAGCAGATTTCTCACAGACCCATGGGGCAGGGACTTGACAGCTGGAAGCGTGGATGGCCCCATTCAGCAGAACAGCACAGTTCTGTACAGGGCTGGTGGACTCGACCCTGTGGGAGACGGAGCACACAAAAAAGGCAACATTAGAGAAGGATCCCCACTTTTGCAGGGGGAAGAACATCTCACAGCCTGGGGAGGAAGAGACCTGCTGCAGTTAGACTTTGTGAGCTGATGTCAGGGAGGATCCATCACAGAACACAAGAGGTCTGGCAGGGGGACTTGTGATACCTGGAGTTCAATGTGAGACTTGCAGTTAGCCAGTCTCACACTGGGCTCTCCATTTCCCATCACTAAAGAGCAAAATGTTCCGTTCCACAAGGGAATTTTTGCTGTTCTACTAAAGACATTTGGGACAGAAAGTATAAAGTATCCCAGTTAAAGTATCCAGTTAAAATCATCTGTATGGGTATGTGAAAGGTAGAAGCCTCTGCTTCCTTAAGATTTTCCAATCAAGGACTCATTCAGTGCAAAAAAGCATAATGAGAACAAAATGATGGGACAGAAATCCACAGACACAAACATTCAAGAAATAGCAGACAAAACTGCAAAGACCAAAAGTCTTCAGCTACTAATTGATGGGCTATCAAAAACCTCCAGAAACAGCTTTGGACAGAGGCACCCTGGGCTTTGTAATGGATAAGAAAGGTGGGGTGAAAGGAGCAGGAGGATTTGAGTACATTCAAGCCCTCATCAAAAATGCAGTTCTGTGAACACAGAAAAGCAAGAGTACTGCAGCACTTCTCTTCTGTGTGGCTGAATGGGAATCCTTTGCAACATGCCCACTGTAGCACTAAGATTTTGGAGTTCAAAGACTCTTAAAAAGCTCATATTGCTCATATGTGGTTTCAGAAAATTCCAGGCATGGTGAAGCCAAATCACACCAGGAGTATTTAGTATCTCTGCCTCCTGTCTGTTGTCACTTTTTGGACCACTTTTTTCACTGTCTGCCTGCTCTGGACAGAATTTCCTCATCCTTAGGAGATCTAATTCAGTCTTTCACTGAAAAGGTGATCAGATGCCTGAAGAAGACAGATAGAACAGATAAACCTTTATGTACAATGAAAGATAAGCTAAATTTGGGAAGAATAGAGAAACAATCCACCAGAAACAAATTATGCAGATGGCCCTGTCATCTTTGAGAAAATTAAATATAATAATTAAAAGTCAACATTTTTGATGGGAACAAAATATTCTAATTAAACAATTAAAACAAAGTCTATCACAAAAACCTGAAAAGCCATAATTCTCCACAAAACAATTGTGAAAAATTTCCACCAAGCCTTCAGTGGGTTCACTAAGGAGAAATCCATGCATGAGTCTACATTGATCCTAAAATGGAGACTGCTATGTGGAAAAGATTTAGATTCAACCACTTCCAAACCAACATAAGTTAACCAGAGGAAAACAAATCAGTGAAAGAATGTTTACATTCTTAGAATGAATAAGGCAAATTTATTGAAGGAAAATTAAATTATGTCTTATCATACAGCAGGAAATTGCCTTTCTGTGGGCAAATTCATAAGCAGGGCATAGATTTGCTTGCAGGGGAAACTGAAGTAGATCTTTTGTTAGAGGCTGTGAGGTGCTCAATGTCTGAAATACCATGGGTTTCCTTGATCAGAGCTTTCACAATGGAAATAAAATATGAGCATTTGTGTAGAGCAGAGCATTGCTTTCTGTGCTCTGAGCACAGTGCTGCATTTGATACCTTTAGCTCTCTGTTTAACAAGGCTCCCTGTGCATTATTGTCAGGTCTGCAGCAGCACTGGGGATGCTTTCACAGCTTTGGGATTGTATTACCTGCCACACACCCACCTTTCACAGGCAGGACCTTTTTGAATACCCGACTCTTGAGTGGGAGGTTTGAACCAATCAAATGCTTTTTAAAATGAATAGTTTATTCACCATGTGAATTTGACCTAATTTACCAGGTAGTTTTGAACCTGTTTTCAAGTAAGGGAGAGAGAAAAGGATGTTATTATTTTACCATTTGGAAAAGAAGGTATCTCAGATTTACACCAACTGGTTTGTGAAGATCCAGGTGGCAATTAGCCAACACCATAGGAAAAGTCAGAGAACTGACTGCTCCCTCTTGAATGGACTTTGCAATGTCCCAGTGTATAGTGGTGACACATGTGCTGTATGAACTCATATGACATTTATTTATGGAAGGGAACATCATTTCCTACCAAGCCTAAGTGACACAGAAAAAACAACTATTTCATTTGTGTCTTTTTGCATTAAAAATAGAAAACTTCTTACCCTTGTCTTTGGAAGAAGACCAAGTTTTGATGGAAACCAGAATGAAAAGAGCCATGCTAAGTGGGGACATGCTGAGTGAACACTGAATCCACTCTTCACACAGAATGGTAAAATTATTCCTTTAATGTGCAATTCCTTTAATGCTCAAAGTGCCAAAATAGTAAGAGGAAAAAAACCCTAAGATACTGTCAGCTTTAGAAACCATGAACAGAAATGAGGAAATTTGTTTCACAGTTTGATTCTGCTTCTTTTTAAATGAAAGCAAGACAGCAACAACTTCCACTGCCTCTAATTTTTTACAAAGTCTGCATGTCCATTAAAATTAAAATCAATGATCAAATAAGCTTTGGAATACTCACCTGACTTGCACAGAAAGCACACTCTCCACAAAGATGTATGACATTTGTGTAACAGCTTCTACATCCACAGACATGAAGGGTTTTGCTTGGTTTTGTTGTTGTTGGGCAAGGAGGTGTGGGGATTGATTGTCTGTGGGTTTGTGTGTTTGAATACAGTGACCATGCTCCCGTGGGAAGCCAGAATATAAAGCACTGGAGAAATCCCATATGTTTATTGAATACCACCCCAGCATGATCCCCACAACATCTCCTCTTTCAAATACCCAACGGATGCATTTTCCTGGGACAGAAGAGATGGGAAAAAATTTCCAGAAACCTCATGGTAGGTTGACTCCAGCTGAATGGGAGGTGCCCATCCAGCCACTCTTGTAATTTCCTCTTCTTAACTGGACAGGGGAGAGTAAATATAACAAAAAGCCCCCAAGTCAAGATAAGGACAGCAAGAGATCATTCACCAGTTACTGTTATGGGCAAAACAGACTCAACTTGGGAAAAATTAGTTTATTGCTAATAAAATTAAGAAGTATAATGAGAAAAAAACCCAAATCTTGAAACAACTTCCTCCACCCCTCCCTTCTTCCCAGGCTCAGCTTCACTCCCAATTTCTCTACCTCTTTTCATCCAGCAGGGAGAATGGGGGTTGTGGTCAGTTCATCTCACATTGCCTCTGCTGCTCCTTCCTCCTCAGGGGGAGGACTCCTCACACTCTTCCCCTGCTCCAGCGTGGGGTCCCTCCAAAGGAGACTAGGTGCTTCAGGAATTTCTCCAACATGAGTTCTTCCCGAGGGTTGTTTCTCATTAAGTGCTCAAGCATGAGTCCCTTTCCATGAGGTACAGTCCTTCTCCAATGAGGGCTCCTCTTTCCACAGATTCTGCCAGGACCCTGCTCCAGCACAAGCCTCCTTTGGAGTCACAGCCTCCTTCAGACATCCCCCTGCTCTGGCATGGGCCCCTCCAGGGGCTGCAGGTGGATCTCTGCACCCCCCTGCCCTTCAGGGGCTGCAGGGGCTCAGCTGCCTCTCTGTGGGCTGCACCACAGGATCTCAGGGCAATCCCAGCTCTGGAGCCTGGAGCAGCTCCTGCCCCTCCTTCTGCCCTGCCCAGGGTGTCTGCAGAGCTGTTCCTCTCACATTCACACTCCTCTTTTTCACCTGCTGTTGTGCAGTGTCTTTTACACTTTCTTAAATATGTAATCACAGAGGTGCTACCAGTGCTGAAGGGCTCAGCCTTGACCAGCAACAGCTCCATTGTGGAGCTGGGGGAAGCTTCTGGCATCTTCTCAGAAAAGTCACTTCTGCAGTCCACCCCATCACCAAAACCTTGCCACACAAACCTAACACTCCTTTAACTCAAGTTTCTCATTACGTTTTCTACAGCTTCCTAAACACACTTTACTCCCAAATGACCACTGGCAGAATGCTACCAACAGGTTGATTTAACAATAATGATAACAGTTTCTTGTGTCTGGCATGGAGGAGAGATTTTATAGATGTTTGAAGAACAAAGGAATCCCTTCCAACATAGGCACCTCATTCCGAGTTTGCAAAATATTTAGAAAGGGAAAACTCTGAGACTTCTTTCTCCTTTACCAAAATATGAAAGGACCCTTCAGAGGATCGTGTATTCCCTCACCAAGCTGTGCACATCAATACCAGCAACATCAGCATAGAGTTCAGGCACCACTGGCTCAGGCACCTGCAGCACTGTGTACCCATTGCTGGTCTTCATTGCTGTTTTCAGGGAGCACAGGAGGTGTGCTGGAGAAGGCCGGTGAGCTGCACTCCACTGCCAGCAGGACTTCATGATGCAGTACCTGGAAATGATGAAATTATGTCTTCATACAAAGAAATGTACCTTCCCTGTGGATACTTTGTTCATTTCAGAGAATATCCTACAACTTAGAGGAGAAAAAAAAAAACAACATTCCCCAGCAGTGCTGCACCTTGCAAGGAAGCAGTGGAACAGCAAAATGCAAGGGCACTTGAGGAGACAGAAACAAGTGTCATTTTCAAGAGGAGAAAAAAAGGTTTTGGCCACAGAGGTTTTATGCAGCAGAACCCAGTAAGGAGATGTGGCAGACACATCTCAGCTATCAGGGTACTCTCAGTATAGTCTAGACTTAGAAATCTTGTGTAAAATCTAATTTTCTATGTCTCATTTCCATTTAGCTCTGCCAACATCATGTTCAATTGTCCATAAAGCAAGTGGCTTACATGGCTTGCTGGCAGCTTGAGGGCTGCTTCATAATGTTCTGTTTCTGCAGGTATGATAAGATGTCAGAAGGTGGCACCTCAGGATATGGTGGAGCACCTGGAAGGGCAAAAGGAGCAATGGTAGAAAATTCGATGGCAATGGTTGCAGAGAGCAGCTTCTGTGCAAGACCGCCTTCCTTCCCTGCCAAAATTTCATTTTTTCCTACCACAATTCACAATAACAGAAGTTTTAAAGGGAATTGATGAGACTTTGCCAATTGGAAAAAAACAGAGTGCTTATTTAAATGGCACAACTTTACAGTCTAAAATTCAAGATTTTGGGTCTTGTTAATTTGCTGCTTCCTTATGTATTTTTTTATTAGCATTAAATTTTCTTACCTAATGTAATCATTTCATACAGTAGAATTCCAAAAGACCATCTGCAAGAAAAGAAAACAAAGTGATGTTGTTTGCTGGCTTAAACACATAAAAACAACCAGGCATGGCCTATAGACAGGAGAAAGTATAAGCTGTAAAAGCAGAGCATTATGCTGAAACTAGATCTGCCTTCCTGTGAAGTTCTGGACATGAAATGATACATAAAGGAGTGAAAGAGTCTGACAGATAGACAGGTGAACTTCTAGCCCCATCATGAAGCCATACATGTCTGCCTTGATGGTGGGGGGCTTGCTCAGGAGCCTCTCTGGTGCCTGCCACTTGACGGGCACTTTCCCTGTGACTGAGCTGGCACCGTGGGTGTGAGCTTCATAGGCCAGCCCCAAACCACAGAGCTTAGCAGTGAAGTTGTGATGAAGAAGGACATTCCTGGCAGCAATGTCACCATGGAACAAGTTCTTTTCTTCCAGATAAGCCTGGGAAATTGGAAAAGAAAGAAAACAGGGTGATTTCAAAAGGAAATTTATTGATACAAATTTTCACTGAGTTTATGCTTGTCTTTAACACTGTGGATTAGCGACACGTGCTCACCAACATAATGGAAGTATATTTTAACAAAGCCTTTATTCTCAGTGCTTAGGCCAAGAAGACTTAAGCCACCATGCAAACTTGTGTTGCAATCAAGCAAGAAGGAAAAAACGCAGCCAACATGAGCAGACTTACCAGAGCTGCTGCAACCTGCTGTCCAACCTCATATACCTGCCTCTCAGTGAGGTCATAGGGGACACCATCCATTGCCATCACATCCTAGAGACAAAATAAGAGACCTTGGTTCAAACAAATGCCACAGCAGTAGGATAGTGGGGAATGTTTCCTTCTAATCTATTTAATCTTATGCTTCTCCTTCTCACAATCGCCCATAAATTGACTGAAATGTCAGAGGATGTGGATGGGTGATGTTGATGGTGTGTTGAGTAAGACAAGTACACCAGAGACAACTGGTGGGCAAACTGACATGTGGGGAAAAAATTCATAGGTTAGACAGAAATTGTCAGCATGACAGTGAAGAATGACAATCCACACAGGTGAATGAAAGATATATTACAAATTAGAATGATGAATAGAAAAGCACATTTCTAACATATGAATTAGGTACCTGATATGAGAATAACAGTCCATCTCTCCTACCACCCTGCCTGTATCAGTAAGAGAGAGATGAGAGAGAGAATAAGGTAAGCACACAATATTCTTCCTGTGCCATTTTACAGCCCAAAGATACATTCTATTTAAAAACTTCCTGAGCTGGTTATGGTTTCAACATGTTCAGTAACCTCTGAAAGGTGACCTTCCATAATTGACCTCATATGAACTGTCAGTATCCACAGCAGTCAGTGGCAAGACATTGCATTAGTCAACTCCTCACTTCATGAAGAACCAGCTCCATTTGTTTTGAACATGACACACACTAGCTTTATTTGCTGCCACCTGGACCTTCTGCTGAACAGGACAGGAAGCAATCCTTCTGTATTTAGAGTTTCAGATGTAGATTGATGGATTTACATGGTAACAGCAGAGTTTTGTTTCCATGCCTTTTATAACAACAAGTCATAGAATCACAGAATATGCTGAGTTGGAAGGGACCCATAAGGACCATTGAGTCCAACTCCTGGCCGTGCATAGGACATCCCAACAATCCCATTCTGTCCCTGACAGTGTTGTCCAAGCACTCCTGGAGCTCAGACAGCCTTGGAGCTGTGACTCTTCCCTGGGGAGCCTGTTCAGTGCCCCACCACCCTCTGAGGAAAGAATATTTTCCTGCTATCCAATCTAAACCTCCTCTGATATTTGGCTCTTTTTTATCTTGAGTTAACATTTTCAATGCACTGCATATATTCATACAATCATACCTCATCCCATCAGATTTTACCCCTCATCAGCAATGGGCAGATATGAAGTCATCATTCATATATGTGAAACTTCTTCCTGTGCATTATTTCATTTTTAACTATGTTGAATTTCATTTGTTCTTTTTATTAACAAGTCTCTCAATCTGGCAAGATCCTTCTGCAATTCTTTTGGGTCAGCCCTTGCCTTTATTGGCTGGAATCATCAGCAAATATCATCACGTCACTGTCATCCCATTTTTAAGTTATTAATACATGCAATGAACTGCACCATGTCCTAGATAGCTGACCTCCCTTCAGTGCAAGTACCAGCCTTTCATTCTTATATTCTATTTCCTGTCTTTTACCAATTAGTTATCATCCCGTGACCTTCCCCCTGTGTTGTAACTGCTCTGCTTTCTTAAAAGCATTTGGAATGAGATGTGATTTAAAACTTTAGAAATTCAGGTAGCTGTATGAATTCATTCTAATTCCAGTGTTTGAAATGCCCTTCAATGATCTGCAAAGTAGGACCTGTACAGAACTTCTTTGGGGCATGGAAATATTTTTGATTGATATAGAGGGATGCATGGAGAGATTAAAAAATCACTTATGATTTATGGATAGATATTGTTCCTACAGAATTTAAGAAGCTATTCTGTCATCACTTCTTGTGACTCACTTTCCGACATGTCCACAGAAATGTCAGCAGGTCACCAAGAGACACATCTTCCATGATCATATAAAGTGGGAGCTGGTCTACACAACATCCAACCAGTTTAACCAGGTTCTCATGATGGCCAAGATTTTCATGGAATTTAATCCTTCCCAAGAAGTCCTTTATTTTCTGGGGACTAGCCGGGTCTGAAAGAATAAAAGAAAACAAATCAAAAACAAAACAACAACAAATGAAGCAGCAAAGAATAGGTTGACAGCTAAAATCAACATGGTCAGCAATCTTTAATCCTACCAAGACATTCCTACAAGAACATCTCAGACTTACTATACTGAACATAGCTTGTTCTTGCCCAATACTGATGGCAACACTCTGTCCAGCACCATACCTGGGATACAGAGACTGTACCAAACTGGATCCTGACCACGGGCCTTACCTTGCAAGGCTTTCAACACCACAGTCTTAGTCTTCTCAGAGCTCCCAGCTTCCAACTGTGCTCTGTAGATACTCCCATAGGCACCAAGTTTGATCAGCTCCAAGGTGTCTGGTAAGAGTTTCTCTCGTGGTATCTCTAATTCTTTCAGAGTCAAGGATGCAGAATTTAGCAGGCTCTCCACAGACCTCTCACTCAGCTGGATGAAGTGGTTCTCTGTTGAGCAGGGTTCCTGCTGATTGTTCGTCATCACTTACAAAAGCAAATAGATATGATGCATAAAACCAGGCAGATGAACTCTTGTAATAGGTAGCAATGCTCATCCTTCCATGCTTTTTTATTTTTGCTCCACAGTGTTTTGGAAATCAGGGCAAGTAAGGAACTGCTATTGTATCCTACTTATCCTGGCCCTTAAAGAGGAGAAAGAATCTCCCACTCTATCTGATGAAAAGACAGAACATCTAAAAATTTCTCCTATATTTAACTACATAACCTTTACAGGTAAGACACATTTGGACTTCATTCCCATGTGCTCAAGCAATGAACATTTTCATTTATTACAAGTTCTCAACTATTTCTCCTAATATAGGCTCAAGAGGCTGTTTCCCTCTACCCAAAATTAGTTCAGAACTGTATTTTCCTTTCCACACAGCCACACGTGTACCAACAAACCTTTCCCTACCCCCTCACCAGTCCCTGTTCTTCTTCACATTGTCTCCATAAGAAGAGGGAGACAGCAGCTTGAAATTAAATTTCTTAAATGACAGTATAGAAAAGGGATTGACTAGGTGTAATCTACATCAAAATTACTATAATTCATAACATAAATACACTTTGCAGCCCTTGTGATGTTACAAAATTTATGGGCACGTTAAACAGCCTACATGGAATGATGTTTTAGATTTTATCAAATCCATCTACACTACAGCTTCCACTACTGCTGCTGCAAAATGGAGTAAATCAGGGTTCCAAATTTTCCTAATGTTTACTGGATTGCTGATTAACACTCAGGATCCTCATATATGGTTATGCCTGACAGCTCAAGCGATGGGGAAATGGAATTGGCTTCTGGCCACTGAAACCAATACTCTTTCTTCTGGTTGAAAAGCATTTTTTTTACCTTGGGTTCCAGCTGGTGCTGATTGCTCCTGCTTTGCTCGCAGCCCGCGGCAGTGGAGCCAAAGGATCACAGTGAGCACAATGACAAAAATTCCCACCAGGAGAGCTGGGACGACGATCACTTCCGTTTGATATTCACGCACAACTGTCAGCAGAGAAAGAAAACAGAAAACAAATAAGCAGAACACTGGTTCTGTATAAACATGTAGCAACAATCCATTTCAGTAACTTTCAACCCCAAAAGAGTGTTCCATCCCCTGGAATAGCTGAACACTGTTCGTGCTGCCATCTTATTTTTCAAAGGTGCTGAGTACCTAAACTGCATGAAATCACTAAGACTGCCACACTTATTTAGATGGATTAATATGAAGGCCAGGAACTGTAGCCATTTGAAGTACCATCCACCAGTGAAAGAGAAACAGCACTGGCAGCAGGACAGCAGGGAGATGGGATGGGCTGGATATTGCTATGTCATCACATGCAATTACAGCTCCAGCTCCTTCCAGTAAAATTACACAGAGCATTTTAAAGGAAACTGGGTGTGGTCATCTTTGGAATCTGACTGGAACACATTAGCAAGGCTTGTGAAGGTAACTATCTTTCTCATGTCCCCAGATCTGGAGGTGGTCCAGACCATTTTCTCAGTTCCCAAAGTTGGCAGAGAGTCATAAAATCAAAATCCCACAAAACTGGTCCTTTGGGAAGCTGCAGGGAATCTTTCATGACTACTGTACACGTCATTCAAAGTAGGAATTCTCTAAAATGGCTGAAATTATGTGAGATTAATCCTGCCACAGAGGCTTCATCCCCATAAACATTTCTCCCCTGAAACAAAATGCAAGGAAAACTCCATCAAATCTTTCTGCATGGGCTGGGATGCAGGTGAAGTAGGAGAAAGGGCTTGGCACACTTTTTAGTGAAGCTGGCCTTCCTGCCCAGCATGTGAAACTTTTAATAAAGGAATGTGTGAATCTTACCACATAGCTTGTCATTGCTATTGCACTCCAGCAGCATCCGTGAGAATCTTTTCACATCCCCTGCCATGTTCAGTTACAAGCAAGCAGGTCTCCAAGCCCCACTTCCTGCACAGACATAAAGAATAATAACAAAATTTATTAGGAGAAAGGATGATGACAAAGCAACGAGTGAAGTGAATAGGGAGCTTTCTACCCCTTACAATCAGTGGCTGCATGAAGCAGCACTGGGATTTGAAGGCTTAGAGAATGACACAGGCCATCCACTATCACATCCTATGGATCTGGTCACATCACATCTGTGGATGATGCACTGCATGACCAGACAGAATTTAGGGTTAAGCTTGTTCTACAGTCACAAGCAAATGAGGACCCCTGGGCCTAAAGGCTGGAATATGTACAAAAATCCATAGATATGAACTTAATTATATTTAAAGAACATCTAATACACTCCTAGCTAACACATTTTTTAGATGCTAGAATGGCTCAGCATTTTATCTTCTGGTCCATTACAAGTGAACAGATCAGTAGCATGCATAGAAAATGTCATTCTTGACTACAGTCCTTGCCACAACTCCTACTGCAGCTGTACAAAGACAAGGAGAAACAAGAGTTGTCATTAGGGCTCTCTGGTACCAACTTCTGAGCACTGCCAAGTCTGTAGGTATTCTGAAGCACAATATCTGCAACTCTTCTGCATTTGTAGCTGAAAATCCAGAGCCTGTACAAGCATGCACCTTGTTTAGTCACTGCTTCTTATAAACTTTGCTAAAATTTAAGACTTAACAGCTTTGCAAACAGTATCATCTAGAACATTTTATAGGAATTGTGACTTTTATCTTGTAAGCACCTACTTTTCAGCTATGAGTTTTAGGCAATTAACCTCAGTGGCAAATATAGGGCATTGATTTTATGGAATTTGGTGACAAAACATTTAAAAGTTTGTTCTCATGCTTAAAATTAATGAGTGAAATTATTCTTTACCAGTTGCACAATAGAGGCAGCAAAGAGAGGAAAATGGAATATATCTGTGCTTTAAGGTATCCCAAAAAGTCTGTTTCCTTTTTTTATTTAATTTCATTCTTAATGTGCTAGCAGATTTACCTGGTTCCAAGGTGTGGCTACACCAGGAATCCAGTCAAAGGAGTAATAACACAGCAATAATATCAAACTTTTCGGGTACACTCTGAAAGCAAGCACACTAAAACAACTCACCTCAGCTCTAACACACACACACACCCACACACACACACACCCACCCACACACACACACCCACACATATACACAGGACCAGTCCTGGCTTCTGCCCTTCTGAAGTACACACAGATTTCAGGACCATTAGCCAGCAATTATATTGTATAATCTAAGTCATGAACAGTCCAAGCTCCATCTTAAAACTTGCTTATGGCTTTGTACAGGTGCTTACTAGAAACACACACTGACATTTAGATACCACGCATGCACAGGCACACAAAAGCACACACACCTCAGTTTGTGCTTACAGAGAGAGCAGCAAAGATCCATGGAAAAAGCTCTGACACAGCAGCCACGTCTACACTGGTCCCTGTCTGTAAAAACAATTCCTTTCTACTCTTTATGCACCTCCCAGCAGCGGTGCCAGTGACTGGCAGTCATGTTTTCCAACCACACTCAGGGCAGAACCATGGGATCCAGGAATGAAAACACTGGCAGTCATTGGCACTTTATTTGCCCTGGCATTCCCATGTGCTGTGGTTGCTTATGGAGGTGTTATGACTGGAAAAGCTTGATTACAGAAGCCCACTCCCACTCTATGTTTCTATCCTCTCGCAATACTCAGCAATCAGAAAAAGAAGTTTCGCTCAGTAAGGTAATTTTGAAGTGCCTTTCAGAGCTACTTTTCAGGCCAAGACCAAATAAATTCCCATACTAGGCTGTTTCTGCAACTTACTTGTCTAACAGTAACATCATTGCAGTTCTTACATTCCTGTCCTCACAGGAATGGTAACTTAGAAATCCACAGAACTCACGTTACACATTTAATATTTTTTGCAATGGGAGACACATGAAAGTGCTGTGGAACAGGTTCATGTGCATACTCAATACAGAGCAAGACTACTGACAGTGCTCAACTACGTATTTTATTAGATGAAGACATTTTTCCAGTACCAAGACAGGATAAAAGAAACAAAAATATCCTAAAAGGTTCAAAATCTGTACCTCACTGGCATCCTCATTTTCTTTGCCTGTGTGTTAACACTGTACCAAGATCAGTGCTATCTAGATCATGTGCACACATACACTGTGTTACTTCAATTTAGAATTTGCATTAGAGAATTTGTGCAATTTCAACTAAATGTCAGCTTATTTATTCCACTAGATTTTTAAATATACTTTTACACAGACTGAATTCCATTCACTGGAATTCACAGAACCATAAAGGTTGGAAAAGACCCTTAAATCATCAAGTTCAATGGTCAGCCCAGCATTATCACCATGTTCTCCACTAAACTATGTCCTTATGTACAACATCCACGGGTTTTTTGTACATTTCCGGGGATGGTGACTCCATTAACTTCACTGGGCAGCCTATCCCAATGTTTAATGACTCTTGGCAAAGAAATTTTCCCTCATCTAATATAAACATCCCCTGGCCCAGCTTGAGGCTGTTTCCTCTCATCCTGTCCCTGTTCCCTGGGAGCAGAGCCTGACCCCCCCAGCTGTCCCCTCCTGTCAGGGAGTTGTGCAGAGCCAGAAGGTTCCCCCTGAGCCTCCTTTTCTCCAGGCTGAGCCCCTTTCCCAGCTCCCTCAGCCCCTCCTGCTGCTCCAGCCCCTTCCCCAGCTCCGTTCCCTTCCCTGGACACGCTCCAGCCCCTCGGTGTCTTTCTTGTGCTGAGGTTCCCAGCAGTGCCCCAGGATCTGAGGGGTGGCCCCAGCAGTGCCAGCACAGGGGACAGTCCCTGCCCTGGCCCTGCTGCCACCCCATGGCTGGCACAGCCCAGGTGCCATTGGCCTCTTGTCCCCCTGGGCACACCTGGGCTCATGTCCAGCCGCTGTCCCCAGCACCCCCAGGGCCTTTCCCAGCTTTCCAGCCCCTGTGCCCCAGCCTGGAGCTGCAGGGCTCGCTGTGACCCAAGAGCAGGACCCAGGACCTGGCCTTGTTGAACCCCACACAACTGGCTTAAGCCCATGGATCCAGCCTGTCCAGATCCCTCTGCACAGCCTTCTGACCCTCAACCTGAGCCCAAATCCTGATGTCAAAGCTAAATATACAATGAAGATCATGGTACCTAAAAATAGCAGAAGCAGCTGCTCTTAGACAATGGGAAATACAAGGCAAAACCTAAGCAGAAGTTAAACTACAGTCACCAGCACCTGCAAACTGCTCCTGGCAGACTACTTGGTGCACTGCACATGGCACAGCAGTTCCACAGCCTGGCAGCAGTGACAGGTTATTAGCCCCCACCCTATACCAACACTGCTCCTCTGTGCACATCTACCAACAGGATGAACACCTGGGGAAAGGTGGCATTTTGTTTCCAGCCCTGTTTGCTTGCCAAGCTGTTTTGCTGCCCTGGCAATTTAGACAAAGCACAGAGGGCAAAAGAGGGACAGGAAAAAGCAGCTAGAAGGTGACAGCTGTGGGAGCTGCTTAAACCAGTTCAAGAAGCCAAATACTGAACGTGAATGTAGCTGAGCTGAATTAAGTACTCACCAATGCCAAAAGAAAGGATTATCTCCTCTCTCTGCTGCCTTCTCATTGCTTGTTTTGCTCTCAGTTGTGCAACTGATCACATGGTAAACTGATTCAAACCACTAACCTAGCAGGAAAAATCTACTGCTCTTTTGCCATGGTGATTTCCTGCCATTTTAGTGGTCGGTATTAGTCAGGGGTGAATGGCTAATTCGTCTAAAGCTGCACTGTGAAACCACTCCCTGTGTCAGCACAGATCCACAAGCACTGTCTGCCAGCAGTAGCCTTATTGTGATTTTTCCAGTACCCTGTCATTCATTCTCACGTGGATACTGTCCCCTTAGCAATAGCAGAAGCATTCACGTGGCAATGTGGTAAACTGAACCAAGAAGGTGATTTGCCCTAAAATAATCAATCCTCTCTGACATTTTATGGCCTTAAAGTTCTCATCAAGCTCATATTATGTTATTTAAAGTGCCAGGACTAAGACTTAAGAAGCCTGAGAGACAAACGCTGTGGTGAAGACTGAAAAGAAAGAGAAATAACATGCCCATGAAATATATGGGAACAGACAGCTTGAATACTGCCCACACAGAAGCTGCCTGCTGCTTGCTCCTTCCATGTTAAGGAGAGTAAGTCCATTTTCACAGAAAATACACAGTTTTGCCTCTGAATATGTCTAATTTGTGAGCTACCAACAGTTTGCATCATCAGTGTAAATCCTTGTGTAATGATTAACTAAATGTCTAAAGAAACAGCTGACTAATTAAATACGACAAAAATAAAGGCTAAGATTCATCAGGATCTTCATTAGACCCTTTAAAAAGTGCTATGAGCTGATGTGGACTTCATGCAGTTATTTCTCCAGACATCCTGGCCCACATTAACTGCACACCACTTTATTATAAAAATATTCTTACACTTGTTTTTCATGCACCAATTGTGAGGACCAGCTGTAATATGACTACAGGCACACAAAGAACAGCTGAGTAATTCAGTAACTTCAGTCCAGCACACTGCCTGACTGATAAAAGACAAATCCTTAAGCATTTTTTTATGTCTTCCACTTAATTTCTTGCAGTGGCAGAACCTTGCCCTCCAGCTTTTCCAGTTACCATTTCACTGCTGCTTTTATTATTTCCCTCCTCTTTTATGTGACCTTTGAACATGGTCAACAGTCAAGGCTTTGGCAATTGCTCTGCACAAGCGCACTGTGCCGGCTGTGCAGCAGGAAGGGAGAGGAGCTACAGGGAATTGCAGGAACCAAAACAGCAGCAAACCACCAGGTGTGGGCAGTTGTGGACATTGAATATGAGAGAAGATGGAGAAATAAAGCACCATTGTAAAGCAAACCGTGAAAAAGAGATTTTTTTTTCCCCCTGCCATATCCACCGTTTACTAAAAGCAGCGTCCAAAACAAATAAAAAACGAGCCTGACAGGTTTCAGCCATGCATTTGTTAGACTACATATTCTGTCTCTTCTGCCTGCAGAAGTGCAGCGACCATTTCCAAAAGCCTGGCAGACCATGACATCTTTGCAAGGTTTCCCTGACCTGTGGAGTCATTTCATTTCTCTCTCCAAGGCACCTGTGGGTTACCAAGCAGCATCTTCAACTATGCAGAACGGGAAATTCTGACCAGCCACTCCAGAGTCACTTCTGTCCTTGTGACCAAGGATTTAAAATAATATCCTGTGGCTTGCTGTAGCACTGTCTCAGCAATAAAGATTTAGTAGTATAACTCACTTTTGAAACAGCTGGGAGCTACAACACCCTGTAAGAAAACAAAGTGTTTCAAAAATCACATACAGAGACACAAGATTTTCTCTTGGTCCACAATTAGAAGCAATACTTGAATATCAAACCTAGGCTAGCTGCTACAGAAGCATATGAAGGCAGTGGAAGAAAATAAGGCTGACCACTTTTGAAGAGTTAGACCGTAGAGAAAACAGCAAATAATGAGATCCATGCTGCTATTTGAGCAGGTGGTAACATAGAGGAAACTTGGCTCCTTTTCAATATAGCAGAAAAACCAGGCAAAGTTAACAGACACTACTGCACTGAGAAATGAGCCAGGAGTGCTGCTGTGCTTTTATGCTAAAAATGTTAGTTCTAACTGGCACCATTTCAATGGAGATACGCAACTTCTCACAGTGCTAGGTTTTGCTTACACTCAGATCATCTACAAAAATTAATTTATTTGTGCTGCATAAGGAAATTTAGGTACAGAAGTGTGAAATAGTATAGAAGCTGAAAACAGATTAAGACAAAAATATCTTTTCCAATGCAGACATGGCCTACTGCAGCTCCTGGAAAATCAACATATATCTTGAACACTCTGACTGAATTAAGGCCACCAAAAGTAGTTCCCACAGGTAATCTGTAAAATAAGTTAAAATTATAAAAAAAACTCTGAGGAATACATTAAGCTGAAGCCCTTAATGAACAGGCTATTAAAAGTCTAGAGGCCAGACTTTCAACAGCACACTCTCACCTATGCCTTCCTTTTATGAAATCAAAATCATATCCTACTTTTGAAAACATTCCCTGCTAACTGAGCTCTGATTTTGCTGGTAGTTGCCTGTATTAAGCCTGTATCAAACCCCAGCACAAATACAGAAATTCTGAAAAACTGACAGCAAAAGCTATGACAGCACATGAGAAGAATGAAGGATTTTTGTTTCAAAGGACCACATGTACCATATAGCTCTTGTTGTGAAAAACCTACTGTGTGATAAAAATACTGCATGACATCACATTGTTGCTTAATGGTTTAAGAAATCCAACACAAACTTGCTTTCATAAATTCACAGCCACCTGAAGCTGTGTAGACAACTTTAGTTTCAGTTTCCCACGTTCTGGATGTTTCTTGGATTTAATACAGATTTTGTTTGTAATTTAATCAGTAGCCCATGCACACACAGGTAAACAGGAAAATCTGCACCACTTTGGTGCCTCACAATCAAGCAACAGTGATGGAAGTAAAATGGTAATTAGTTCTGAATTCAGCCCTAGGCATGTATTACTTACCTAAAGACTGGACGTATTAATACACAAATGCCTAGCATCACCCTTTTTCAGTGAACTGAGACTAATTTTATACAAAACTTAATTACTTTGTTAATTTATTCCTCTTTAAAAAATGCCTGTGAGGTATTTCATTCAAGTAAGCCAGCATGTAGACGATATCCCTCTTTTATTTTTTTCCTCAAACTCCGATACCATTATGATCACAGAAATGTCTGTAAGTACCTTCACTACAAGCAGTAAGAACATACATGCACTCATACACAGACGTATAGTACAGCTACCTTCTAATTCAGGTCACATTAATGTTAATAAAAGTCTTTTAAGAGATAAATATTCATGGGCTGATCTTTCAGAAGTGCTTTCTCTCACTTACCTGAATGACACCACTTGCCTTGCCCTGTGGCTGTCTTTTCCTGAAGCTCTCCTGCTGCCGGTTCCCAGTTTGTGAGGCCACTCCCAGTAACGCTGATGATTACCTTGATTGTAATTTTTTATGACTAAGTTCCTTCTCACTGATTTTTCTACTCCAGTCCCGCCCAGCTTCGGTTCTTTGCTTCTCTAGGTCTCCTCAGCTGTCTCCCTAGGGATGTCCAACACACAGGTGACAGGAAGGCACACACTTGCAGAACGGGTCTGCCTGGCTTGCACACAGCAGCTGCTCATGGGCTGACTACAGAGACAGGCACAGCGAAGAGCCCTCGGGCAGCCACCTGAGTGGGGTTTGAAGGGCAGAACAATACAGATCAAGAGGAACAGGTTATGTAATAAACAGAATTCATGCACTTCTGGTTACAGGTTCATGCTTAGAAAGAATAGGCTCTTAGAGCAGAAAATCTGTACAAAACCCCCAGGACTCCAGAGGCTGAAAAAGCGTTCCACTGGGAACGCGGTCTGCAAATGAAGAAAGAGATTAAAGATTAATAATATCAAAACATGCAACAGCAGGCAGCAGAAACACTGGGCTTTTCACACTCTGCCTTGCCCCTTGGTGTCCCTCCTGCTTGGGCTGTCCTGCATTCTGATAGAACTTTGGAAAGTTTGGCTTCCCCTTCTCCTTTCCTCACACCACTCTTAGCTCCCCAGTCACACTAGACAATATTCCTGAACTCCCCTGTGATGTTTTCCTGCCATGATGCCCTTGGGATCTCCACTGTGCTCTGCTGGTGTCCTCAGCAGCCATGGGGTGTAATCTTCATTGCACCTCAGCATTTTACTTCTGGGGACTTTGTCCCCAACCAATCCATGTGCACAAGTCTCATCTGTTGGCCTGTCCTCCCCTATCACTAATAAATCTTATGTTGAGAGTTTCAGATTCTTCATTCCTGGTTATATGAGTCTACACAAAATTACTTGCTTACCTACTTCATAGGATTGAGAGACAGTTGCATTTCAAGAGTAAATAACATGAGACCTACTTCTTGTTGAAAGACAACTTCATTTCACAGTCAGCAACTCGATGCAGGTGGCTTGGGGAAGATGCCACATATGACATGATCTCTGCCAACTGTTTTAGCCAAACTCACTCCTGTTAACAGTTTGTCACAGCATATAACTGTGTTGTTGTGGGGAAAATTTTAGTTGTGGCACAATCAATACTTATAGGTATCAAAAGACAATAGATAATTTAAGAGAAACTTCTCCTTAGCATTATTCTTCCAGCTGGCATTTACCCATGTGTGCAAAATGGTGAAAACCAGGAATGATTTTTTCATTGCTTGATCTCTCTACAGACACTGGCAGGAGTGGGGAAAATAGTATCAGCGAAATAGTCCTGTGATATGGATTTTTATCCCCTGAGAAACCAGGAAAGGCATCTTCTAGACTGAAAATGTCCTAAATTAGAAAGATCACTACGGCTGCAGAATGTTGGCTTAGACTCCGGTTTCAGCTTTCCTCTCTCTCATTCTGGTATTAACTTGCATTTACTCTCTGCAGTGTTTTCTCCATGAAGGAGCAGGGGATCTGTCTTATACCTCGTTCTCCATTAAATAGTAGGTAAAATGCAAATAACAGTTCCTTATTTAAATGAGTTCATTACCGAAATGAGTTACATTCCAGAGGTACCTTCCTCAAGGGCACCTGGAGGAAAACCAATTCAGATTCCTGTTTAAAAATATGACAACTGAAAATCTTCCTCCTCCTTTCAGTTTCTACACCTCCCTGCTGTGGAAGAGAGTGTGAAAGGCAAAGGGTTAAATATTCAGGGTAAGCACATGCAAAAGCAGCAATGGCTGCAGCTTTTAATTTCCCCCACCAGTGTCTCTGTTGTGCTCCCAGTCTGACTGGTTGGATAAGATATTTTAATGGTTCAGAGTTCAGCATATATAATCCTCCTCATTCATCAACAAGCCTTTCCTGCTGTTTAGTGGAGTGACAGAAGTCATCTATTGTCCTGTGAAAAACAGACTTTTCCTGCTATGTCTTGTATTGTATGTGCATCCACAAAGAAAACATTGCCTGTTTAACATCCTCTATACTTCTCTGCTTTTTCCTTATGATTAAGCACACTGAGAGGCAGCAGAGTGGCAGTTTTATTAACATAACCATCCTCTATATCCAAGACAGATGTAGCCCACCTAGAAACCATCCTAACCACACACAGCTGCTGCACCATAGGCTCAGGATGGGTTCTGGGACTAAGCACTAAACTTCTTGACTTATTTTCACATTCTAATATAAGACTTAAAAGTGTGGCTTATAGCTGATAGACTGCAACTGTTCTTTTGGTCAGCTTAAGCCCACAGAGGTGGGCTTAAAAACTCAGTAAAAACTCAGAAGATAAGGGGCTAATGTGTAAGTCTCAAACAACAACAGCCAGATGGCTGCAGAGCCAACCAAGGATTGTTGGTAACAACACTGTGAGAAAGAACAAGATGTGGCTGGGGAAGGGGCCATGCGGAGGAAGGGCAGCACTTTGTTGGCACAAACACCCTTGATGTACTTTCTGCAGATAAGCACAACAGGGCACAGTACAGGGATGATCTAAAAGTGAAGAAAAACCTCCCATCAGTGAAATGAGTGGTGATCACAAGAGATGAGCAAGTCTGCTGCATAATGAGAATACTAATATACCAAATAATTTAAAAACAGGGCTAAGTCTGTGTTTGTGTGGATGAAAAAGGAAAACAAGAGACAGCCCAAACCATTCAAGGTTTGGATATTGATCTGGAATGGGACATGACTTGGAGCACAGATAATTCAGAAACAGGATTTGATTCTCACCCTGCTATAAACCAGGTAATTCCTATCTATTAACTCTTGACAAACTTTGAGTCTTGTTGCTCTTTCTCCAGAAAAATTCTAACCTGATTCTGCCTAGTCCTGCAAACACCTTCTCCAGGTTTTTTTTTTTCCAACGATGCAAAGATCATAGAATCACACAACACTTAGGGAAAGGGACATTCAAAGACTATACAGTTCCAACCCCCCTGTGGTGGGCAGAGACACTTTCCACTAGTCCATACAGCCTGACCCTGAACACTTCCAGGGACGGGCATCCACAACTTTCTCAAGGCAACCTGTTCCAACTTCCCACCACCCTCGTTGGCAAGTATCTTTTCCTTATATCCAATATAAACCTATTCTGTTTAGCTGTGAACCTGCTGCTCGTTGCGCTGTCACTGCCGGCCCCGGTCTGACGTTTCCCTGCACCCCCCAGGGAGGGAAAAGCAGCAAAATCACCTCCCAGCTTTCAGACTTAGGGGCTAAGAATTGTACCTTGTGCGTTACTTTCAGGAAAGCTCCTGAAACCACCACGGGCCATCAGCTGCGGCCGCTCCCGCCACCAACTCCGCTTCCTGCGGCTCGCCGTGCCCGGGGGCGGTGCGGGGCAGGGCTGGCGGAGGAGGGCGGGCCGTGGGCAGGTGGGGCCCTGGGCAGGTGAGGGCGGTCCGTGGGCAGGTGGGGCCGTGGGCAGGTGGGGCCGTGGGCAGGGAAGGTGTGACCGCCTCTGCTCCCGCCCCCGGGCACGGGCACCGCGCCGGGCAGGGGCCGAAGGGACGCGGCTCGGTCCTGTTTAACATCTATCCTTCTCTGCTTTCTCCTTATGATTAAGCACACTGAAAGGCAGCAGATTGGCAGTTTTATTAACGTAACCATTCCTTTTATCTGCAGGACAGCTGTAGCACAAGTAGAAACCACTCAAACCGCACACACGCTTCGGCTGGATGGACGGGCAGAGTCCAGTAAGATGAAGTTCAATAAGTCCAAGTGCTGAGTCCTGCGTTTGGCCACAATAACCCCCTGTAACTTTATAGACTGGGGACAGTGTGGTTGGACAGTGCCAGCAGTGTGCCCTGGTGGCCAAGAAGGCCAATGGCCCCTGGCCTGTATCAGGAATAGTGTGGCCAGCAGGAGCAGGGAGGTCATTCTTCCCCTGTACTCACTAATCGTGAGGCCACACCTTGAGTGCCGTGTCCAGTTCTGTCCCCTCAGTTTAGGAAGGACATTGAGGACCTGGAGCGTGTCCAGAGGAGGCAACGAGGCTGGTGAGGGGCTTGGAACACAAACCCTGTGAGGAATGGCTGAGGGAGCTGGGGTTGTTCAGCCTGGAGAAAAGGAGACTCGGGGGTGACCTTGTCACTGTCTTCAACTCCCTGAAAGGTGGCTGTGCTCAGGTGGGGTTGGTCTCTTTCTCCAGGCAGCACTGACAGAACGAGAGGACACAGTCTTAAGCTGCACCAATGGAAATATAGGTTGGATATTAAGAAAAAGTTTTTTATGGCAAGAGTGATCAGGAATGATCTGCCCGGGGAGGTGGTGGAGTCACCATCCCCGGATGTGTTTAAAGAAAGATTGGTTGTGGCATTCGGTGCCATGGTTTAGCTGAGGTGTTAGGGCACGGGTTGGACTCCATGACCTTGAAAGTCTCTTCCAACAGGGTTATTCCGTGATTCTGTCTGTGATGCCGCACAGAGCCGGCCGCAGCGGCGCTGGAAGCGACAGGCAGGCGGGACACGGAGCCGGGACACGGAGCGGGGACACGGAGCCGGGACACGGAGCGGGGACACGGAGCCGGGACACGGTGCAGGACACAGCCACGAGCCGCTCTCAAGGCCGGCGAATTCCCCCAAGCGCTTGTTTTCGTGAAACACAGAATTAACCGAGGACGCGAGCGCGGGGAAGGAGCGGGCGCGAGGGGCGGGCGCTGTTTGGTGTCCCGTCACCGCCCGCTCGGCCCGTGAGGGCGGCGGCGGCGGCCGCGGGGACGCGGCCCTGGCGGCGGCCGGAGGGTGCCCGTGCCGCCCGTGCCGCCCGTGCCGTGGGACGGCCCCGGGACTGGGGCTCCGCAAGGGCTCCGGGGCGAGGGGCCTGCCCGGTTAACCTCAGTTTTACCTCGGTGTATGAAGAGACACTTGGAACGCCCAGCGTCTTAGGTTTGGCACCGGTTTAAAATGCTGTAGTCATTACAAAGCACTCGTAGCGTTCCTTCCCCACATAGCGGCAATAAAACCCGGAACACAGATACCCACTGAGAAATGATAGAATAAAAACTATACAGTGTGATGTATAAAGTCACTACTCTGAGGCTCTTGCGTCTCTTGCTTCACAGTTCCCTCCCATCCATTGATGTTTTTCAGAAAAAGAAATTAAAGGTGTCACATTTTCCACGAACACTGAGGTTCTGAAAGTCTATTTTTGCCCCAAGCATTTTTACATCCTAGAATTACAACTAAGCAGATTTAGGGAATCATAATCACTCATCTGCCTCTGTGGTAGCAGAACTTCGTGTTTGTATTTAACCTGGCTGCAGCTGTAATTGTAAAATAAATACTGGTTACAAATGGGGATTTTACAACTACCTTTGAAAATAAGGAATTGCCCTGGGTCAGAGTATTTGGGAGAGAAATTGAAAGACAACTGTAGCAGGGTAATGGAGTTTGCTAGTGAAGGGTTTGACACAATGATCTTTGATTACTGATACCAAAAATCTTTATTTTGCACAAACACAGCATATTTGAGCTAATTCGTTCTACATAATTCCAAAATGGATCACAAATAATATGCAGCATACAGGCGATGACCAGTAACTTTAAGGTCAGATTCTTGCTGAATTCACGTGTAAATCTAAAAAGTATCTGCTTTTTTTTTTCTTTCTTTTTCTTTTTCTTTTCTTTTTTTCTCATTGCAATGTGACTTTGTCTCAACTGTGAAAATCAACTCACTTTAGAGTAAAATAAAGTAGGAAATTCCTGGTTTCCTTATAGATGGCTGAATCAGAATCTCAGGAAGGAAACTATGATAACAGAAGAAAGAATGAGGAGAACTTGAGAAAGGACATGAAACGATTTCTGGAGCAAATGGAAAGACTAACAGGTACGGGCCTTATTAAGAATTATATGGATTTTTGTACTAAAGATACTGAAGATTTTTTATATTTATTCTTGTAATTTCTGTGTGATAGAAATGTAATTAAAACGATTACCATCAACTAATGCCCTCGTGTTCTTAATTGTGAAAAAGCATGCAAATAATTTAGGTGGTTCAGATGGCTCAGAATTAAAAATCAATAGATAATAGATGCTTAGTTCAGAGTGTTGGTTAAAAACAGAAATACTACTAAGGTGTTTAATGTACAATCATTAAAATACAATATATAAAATGAGACTTAATTCTGAAAAATGGATACCTATCACCTCTCAGGTCAGTGTACTATTGTGAATTCTTGGTAAAATAAAAGGAAAAGTATGTAAGTGTACATAAGTACATAAATTTAGTGCATAAGTGCCAAAACTATTTGCTCAGCTTTATCAGATACTCATTATTTCAAAATCCATTTCATTATTTAAGTTACTCATTATTTCAAGATCAATTTCATTACTTAAGTTGTCTAATAAATAATATTTCATCTAATTTCGTCTAATAAAAATATTTCATCTCTTTGTTGCAGTCTCCTTGATCTTACTCTTCATTACCTAACACAAACTGTAACTGGTCTGGAGGGAGGATTCCTTATATAATATTCATATATTTTAAAACAGTCCCTTGACCCTTTCCATTTGGTTACCTGTTTTGTTGTTATGTTTAGGTGAAATGTCCATCCCTGTTTTGTAATTTACATCAGTGTACTTTAAACTGTTTTGAGACATTTGTAAAGAAGTAATCCCGAACAGTCTATTTAATCTTGAGTATTACTGTAGGCAGTTTCCATTTTATTTTCCAGCCTTCTCTGAGATCTGAACCGATAATTCATTATATTAATTTAATTTATTTATTAAATCAGCCATTGCTTTTTCCTGACCAGAAAGTAATAATTCCTGTTGTGTTTGCAGTGCGTGCAGCCTGCACAGTCTACAACTGTGCAACCATCAAGGCCAACCCAGACCTGCTCAGCACCAGGAAGCACTTAGAAGAAGCTTTCCTAATGTGCAGAGAGCAGATAGAGAAGAAATGGCAAGAGGTGCTAATGGAATCCAGAGGTGAAGGGCAAAAAAAGGAATAAATTGAACTTGTTCATGCTGGCAGAATAACAGCCCTTGGAAAATCACTTAGGTCCTTTCTTCTCCTAGCTGTGGAGGTTTCACAGGAATGTGGGAAATGGATTGGCTTTTCTCTTGCTAGAACTACTTATTTGTGAATGTTCGTGGAAGTATTTTAATGAGATTACACATATAGCTTTTATAGATGAGGGTAAAAGGCAACAATGCATGTATTTGCATAATGCCTATCAGTAATCCCTGTAGTGTTTGCACACACAATGGACACACCCTCTCTCCTTTTCCTGGAAGATCATACTCACTGTATGGTCAATATAACTGGAATTCTTTGAGATCTGAAGAAATTGGAGGGATGGGGAACAGGGCTGCTGTAGAAAACCATCACTGTGGCATTGCACTAGCCCATAGCTTTCAAAGAAAACTGAAGAATTGCTTATTTACCCAAATGAAACACAGGTGAAATTCTAGATTTGCAGATAGACTGAGTTGGTTTTATTTAGGATTATCATCTAGATGTTCAGTTACATAGTTTTATTATTTAGACAGATCATCTATAGTGGTTTCATCTTCTTCCATTAGATTTTTAACCATTGCTTTGAACTGGTTTCCCCAGAAAGATTGTTCCTCTCAAACTCTCTGAAAGGAGCATGAAATAAATTTTTTTACCATTATAGACTGCAGTGTGTGTGGTGGCATTGCTGCAGAAACTAAACTAACCACGTTACAAAACATGCTTCTCTCCATCTGTTCTTACTGTGCAATATTAGAAAAGGACAGAAAAATTGCTTTTTTAGTCAGGATATGGATTAAGAGCAGCACCTCATGACTTGTGGTTATACATAAATGAGTAGTTTACCAGAGATAGAAGTCAGTGCAATAAGTTTTAAGGATCTTCCCTTTTATTAAAATCAGTCTCTTAACTAGAAATTAAGTACCATGTAGCAAGTGAGAGCACCTCCATCTCCTCTGAAGAGGTATTTAATAATTTAAATCACATCTAAATGACCACTGCAAGTTTGCCAATTTTTAGGCTATGTATTTCTTTGAGAGTGGTTGATCTAAATTCAGACAGAGTGTTTATCCACTGAAGTAAAGAATATGTAGGCAATGGCACCAAGTAGTTCTAGAGGTACAAATAGTTAAGAACAAACTTGGAACTCTATACTTGACTTTCCCGTGGGAGATCTTCACTTCTCCCCAAGATTTTCTTGCCAGGTATGTGATGATTATGAGAGGAAAGTTAGGGATAGGCAGCAGTGCTTGTTCCTAGAAAAACTACACAGCAAGATATTTATACTTTTATTTTGCTATTTTCCCCCCTTTATTATTATTCACCATCTACCCTATTTCAGCTCCCCTAGAGCCTGCAGCAGAGCCCAGATAGCCCACATTGCAACACCTTTATTTCTTGTCACAGGGGTGTCCATGAATTTCCAGAAAAATTAAGTGGAGTAACAGCCCCATCTAGTGCTCACATAACTGTACCAGTAAACTGGATTGTGGACATCTCTTTAACTCCCCAGCACCCATTTTCTGTGATGAGAAGTGGCAGCAGTTGTGTGGGGTGTAACACTGCAATGCTTTTACCATCCATGGTACAGCAAAATTTACTGCTCTTAGTTATGCACTGCACCTGTTGGCAAGTCAAGAGGTTGATGTTCGAGAGTAACCTACCCAAGAGCCATCAAGTGGAGCCATAAATATTCTCAATACTCTGTTTTAAAGTTGCCATTGACGATTTCTTACCAAGAAACAGATGAGACTTACACAGAGTCTCCTGTATAATTCTGGTGGCTAAAACTCTGCCCTTCTCTCCAGTGTGAAACAATTGAAAAGGGACTGAAATGGGAACATTTCACACTCAGGTATCTTGACCTCGTCAGAATACATCCTAGAGCTCTGTTTAGAATATTTGTTTCATTTACTACTGCTGCCCTCCAGTTCTTTATTAGAGCCCCAATTCAGGTTATCTCAGAAAGGCTCAAGAATCTATATAAGCTGTTTTACCTTTTAGCATATTTTCAAAATTTCAGTCCAGATTCTTGCAGCGGTTTTTCCTGAAACTCAATCTGTAACACCTCTATTTATACCTACTTTTGAAATAATGTCTTTTCTGAACAAGAACTGTATCACATAGGCACTACTGGCATGAAAGTGGCAGTGTATAATTGATTAATTCTAAGGACCTTTGTGGTCCTACTCAAGTCACCATTTACAAGTCAAAACTTACAGCCAAACATTGCAGAATAATGTATTTTGACATAAGTCAGGAAATACAATGAAGCTGAGTCTTTTCTGTCATATTTTAAAATACTGTAAGATATTAATTAGTAATCTCATGAGCTGGTGGTATTGAGTCATCAAGATCCATTTTCTGCTCAGTGCATCATTGTCCTGCTCTAGGACTCAAATTTCAATTATAGCTGCCTTGCTCCACTATTGCAAACAGCACAAAATAGAAAGTTCAAGCTAACACTTATTTGACAGGGCCTCCAAAATGTTCTCATCCCCTTTACACCTGAGAAAGGATCTCACTGCCACTTGGCTCATGCAGATACTTTTCCCTACAACTCTGAGCTTTCAGAGCATGGACTTTCTACAGAATTACAGTAGTGCTGAAGGCTCATTGGTTCTCCAGAAAGCCAAACCAGCAGAACACAGAATGATGTCTAAGGCCATGGCTTTGAACTCAGGATCTGCAGAGACTCTAAAAAAGCCACAACAAATAACAGTCAGACATTGACAGCTGATTCCACAGCCCTTACAACAAACTGTGTAGCCCAAAGTTTTTTTTCCAACAGAAAATGCTTCACTTCCAAGGCAGTTGTTTCACCTGTGTAGTTCTCCCATGGCAACAACGCTGTCCAAGACAGAAGACTGCAGCAGACCTATCTCTCCAGACTGTGAATCCCTTGTATTGTGATTATGTTCAAATGAAACAATGTATAAAGACCTACAAAAACTGTCTTCTTCCTTTCTTTATCTTCCTCAAAAGTTCACAAGACACAGGGAATGTTTTTGCAGGACATTAGCTACTCTGCAAATCCAAAATCCATGGAGCTTAACATCTTTTTAAGAAACCAAACCAACATAACACAAACTAAGCTCTCATCTGAAATTCTGCTTGAGGCAAATAACCCATATTCTTATTTACAGTTACACAAGCACGAGCTGCCAGGAGAAACTACCCTTATTATTGAGCACCAAGTTCTACTGGCAAATTCAGCTAACAAGAACTGAATTTGTGGCTGAGTAAGTGGTCTAGTAAAGGAACAATTATGCACAGCCCAAGACATCTAAAATGTAATTTTAGTAAGTTCTTTAAACTCTGCTAGAGTTAAGCTTGTATTTTCATAACCAGGGAACTGAGGGATGAAGTAGGTTATGTCAGTTACTGGCTTCTGTTTTATGCAAACATTCTTACTAGAAGAAGGACAGAAATAACAAATTGAAGTCAGCGCTAGGACATTACTTGCATCTCTACCTCATTTTCTCTGTTCATAAAAAAATAGATGGCTAGGTAGGTACTTTTGTTAACCTGATTCAATCTGACCTATATTTTTGCAGAGATTAAGAAAACTCTCTTTAGCCTGTCCAATCTCTCAAGGAAAAAATACCTACTGAATGCAGTTCAAGTAGTTTTTATGACAAATTCTGCAGTAACATTTCAGTATTTATGAATATCTTGCACCTGCTTGTTATAATGACATTATCAACCTCTCCCCAGCTTGCCTGCACATTTAGTTAGGAACAAAACTTAAGCCTAAAAATATTTATCCTGCTTAAGAATTCTTAAAGGTACCATTATTTACATTTTCCTCACCTTATTGCACTTTGTTAAAAGAGACATTTCTTCATCTTCCAAGTAAAGATTTCTTCCTCAACCAAGCCTATGGCTTTCACTTCACAACTCATTAAGACGTTCCTAATCCCTCACAATTCAATCAGCTGTAAGCAGTGTAACTCAGGCACCACTAAGCCTTTTCCCACCCTCCTTCTCCCCAAGGCAAAGGCAACAGGGTGCAAGGGCCCTTCCTCCCCTTCCCAGAAGGTGGAAGCAAAGGGCTTTTGAGTGCAATTATGCCCTGCACTCTCTCCTTAATTCCTGAAGAGTAACAGGAATATTTGTTTGAGAAACAAATACACTTATCTAAGGTTTGGTTAACAGCAACTGCAAGACAGGAATGTGAGAAACTCTGTACTAGACAATGAAGGACACAAGATATGCACCCATATTCAACAGCTGGAAGCAGACTGATAACACCCGGAAGACAGCCAAGTTTTAGGGAGAAACATTAAAAAAAAACTCTGATATTATAAGAGAGCTCAGTACTTTGCTCATTAACACGAGATGGCATAGATACAGAGATTTTACTGGTTTGAAATAAGAAAGAGTCCCCCAAACTACCTGCCACAAGACAGCACAGGAAAACCCAACCATTAAACATCATTAGAGCCAGAGGAACAGAGCAACACTCTAAGTTATGGCTCCGTTTTGTGACTTCTTTGCAGAAGTTGTTTTGTATTAAAGTATATCCACCTAATCATGCTCAGTTATCATCCAGCAATATGCACCCAAGAGGCAGCTCTTTCACATATAAATGCTGAAGCAAAAAGATTAAAATAATGAATTATTTTAACAACAAACATGAAAAAACACACTAAAGCAGATTTTTTGGTAGTTGAAATCACTTTTATTTGTGAGGAACGTCACCCATGCTGCACAGTTTCAAATAGATCTTAACAAGGAAAGCGGAAGTTTGTCCTCCCCACGTCCTGCAGTGAACAGGACTGGCACAGAAAAAAAACTCACACTTGGGAGGTTTAGCACCAGCATCCAATAAAAAAAAGCATTTTATTTCAATTTTAGTTCTTTGGTTGGTTTTTTTTCCCTTTTCAGTTTGATACCAAAAGAAAATTTGAAAAAAAATCAATACTAGCAAAACAGTGAAATTCTAGGGAAAAAAACCCCAAAAACCAAAAAGCCCCACAGTTGCTCTTGAAACTAGGGAGGTTGTTCTTTCTGAATCTCGCTCTCTTCATGCATCTATCTTGTAGGCGTTCCCTGGATCTCAGCTGCTGGTAAATTTTCTTTTACATTTTGGTATTTCAAATCTTTGCTTTCGTCATCACTGTTGACAATTTATTGCTTGTGTGTTTCTTTGGTGTTACTTTTGAGCTGTACTTTAGGACACCTGTTGAGGAGCCAAATGTTACAAAAAATGCAGTTTAAATTTCACTTTCTCAATTAATAGATGAGATTTCAAATGAAAAGAGTTATAAGCACAACTGGCTTATCCTATCCATAATCAGGATCTTCCTAAGATATAACAACTCATCAGCAGATGCTATTACTGTACAGACCAGAGAGCTTCCTGGAAAAAAAAGAAATCAATTATAAAGCAAAACTTACTTTATTTGTGACAAATACAGAAGCAGAGGGGAGAAAGAAGAGAAAAGAAGCACCTTGGTTTTGCATCTACAGCACTCTCAGAACTTAGGACAAATGTCAAGCCATACATAAGGGGATGTGGCCAGAATCCTAGAAGCACACACTCTACCTCCACATGAAAACAGGAACTGTCCATATTCCTTACCTGAGCGATGGTAGAAGTGCCTGGGGAGCCGGACATTACTCAGCACCACTCTGCTCTGTCACTGGAGCAGGATTTTCAGCAGGTGTTTCAGTTGCCTTTGTCTGAGACACAACAAACTCTTATTATAGGCAAAGGCTGACCTTTACACCCTTCCTCTCAAGCATAATGCCAGTTTTAAAACGATCAAGAAAAATTAATCTCCAAAAAATTAAACTTGAGTGTATTTCCTGTTATTGAGTATTACACAGCAGATTTTGTCAAGGGAACACCTGAAGTAGACACTGAATGAGAAAATCTTCCCTCATTAAAGTAGAACCTGTGTTTGCAAACAGTTTGCTGAAATTATCTGGGTCAAACAGTTTAAGAAATGGATCTAGCGCTTTCAAATCCATCTCTCATGGTATTTACAGAACTGAAGTTTGTGGAAGGAGGAAAACACAACTGTTTCCACTTCAAAAATAGTTGTTACAGTCTGACCTCAATTAAGAACTATCCAGAAGCAACCCCTATCTACTGCTGGTTCCTTTAAGATAAGGTGCTTATTCTCTAAGAGGGTCAGAAGAAGCAGGCAAAGAAATCAGCACATCAGATTTGGCCCTCAGACTTATCTAGCACATTAATACATTTATTGAAAACTCACACAGGGCAGAGGGTCTTGGGCATGCACCCCTTTAAAACCTCTGCTACATACAGTCATAAAATGGTTTAGGTTGGAAGGGGACCTTGAAGATCCTCATTCCATCTCTCCTGCCATAAGCAGGGACACTTTCCACTAACCCAGGTTGCTCAGAGCACCATCCAGCCTGGTCTTTGTCACTTCCAGGGATGGGGCAGCCACAGCTTCTGTGGGTAACCTGTGCCAGTGCCTCACCATCCTCACAGGGGAAAATTTTTTCCTCATATCCAATCTAAACCTCCTCTCTTTCAATTTTAACTCGTTCTCCCTTGTCCTGTCACTCCAGGCCCTTGCAACAGTCTTGCTTCATCTTTCCCTTCAGGTACTGGAAGGCCACAATGAGGTCACTCCCCAAAGCCTTCTCTTCTCCAGGCTGAATCATCCCAATTCCTGCAGCCTTTCCTCCCAGCAGAGGTGTCCGTACCTCTTTGCCCTCCTGTGCCGGGGCGCTGGCTGGGCGTGGCCGGCGCCGGTAGTTGTAGGGGCGCCGGTAGCCGCGGCGCAGCGGCTGCTGGCCCATGGCACTGGCCTCGTGATGGTTCTCTTTGTTTTCAGCTTCTCCAGTCGCCGGGGCAGGGCGTGGACGAGGGGGTCCTCTGAGAGGGGCAGAAAGAGGTGTTAAATACTAAAGAAGCCCAAGAAAGCTTAAACCACAGAAATTTTCACCCAGCAAAACTTCCCATAACCAAGTATGATCCTCAACAGTTTTGAGTGTTAGCAAACCATCCCTTTGGGGTTTGGCTGGCACATGGTTGGAAAGGAAAGACAAGGAAAGTGGTGTCTCTTCACTGCTGAAACTACATCACCATATTCTGCTGTCTGTCCCGCAATGGAGATGCAGTTAACCCCTTTGAATTGCTGGCTAGCAGAAGAAACAAGGCAGCAGTGGCTACACACACTGATCGTGCTGAGTCACTTTTGGCATGGCTACATCCCAGCCCAGTCCTATTACTAATTAATGGTGCAGTCCTTGCAATCCTCCTCACTTCTACCTGCAAACCATTCCTGAATCTTTGTTCTCTCTGCCTCATGTTGCCCCTCTTAACCAATTAGGAAAAGCACCTATCACAGGTGAGCTGTGATATATAGCTAAGCTATCAAGTCCATGTTCTTGATGTTTATACTAGAAATAAGGTGTATACAATGTTTATAAACTGTCAAAACACAGCCAAAATCCAGTTTCGCTAACCCACAGCTACCTAGTAAAAAAAAAAAAAACCAAACAAACAATTTAGCTTTTCTAAAGGAACCTAACAAAAACGCCAGTGTTACTGGATTTAGTGCCTGTAAACAATACCTACTAACGCAAACAAAAGCATTGTGCACTGATAGGATATATCATTCCTCTCATTGGAAAATTGCATCAGAAAATCCCAAGTTTCCATTAGTCATGGACAAGTTACTCAGCCTGTGATTCAACCACATGACATGCAAAAGCCTCTGGACTTGCTATGGTGCTATCTCTGACTACCCAAAACTAATGAAGACTTTCAGGAATTAAATTTATTCAGCTTGGATGTCAACAAGCAGCAAGTATCATTAGTATCCCATTTCCCACAGTCCTAGATAAAAGAGCCAAATTGAATATTTATAAACAGAAAAGCTCAAAGTAGAGGTGGAAGGCTTGTGGTTTTAGATCCAGATTCCAAAAAGATGGATCCATTATGTATGGAACAGCAGGTCATTACAATTAAGAACAATCTTGCTATTCCTATCAAATTCAGCTTCTTGCTGCTCTTGCACTGTTATTTACCTCTTACTTTTTGTTTTTGAACAGACATGCATATGATAACATCACTTTCATAGTTCTCTAAATTCAATTATGGAATTTTACTTCATAAGCTACTTGGTAAACAGGGACAATATGATGAGGGGCAATTGAGTGAATGGCAGACAAACTAGCTCCTTGAGGACCTTTAAAGGTCATTTGTCCAACACCCTTCAACTAGATCAGGTTGCTCAGAGCCCCATTCAACCTGACCTTGTAAGGGGCATCTACCAGCTCTGTGGGCAACCTGTTTCAGTTCTACCACACTCATAGTAAAAAAGGTCTTCCTTCTATTTATTTTAAATCTCTCTTCATTTAAAACCATTACCCCTCATACTAACAAAACAGGCCCTGCTAAAAAGTTTATCCCCATCTTTCTTATAAGCCCCATTCAAGTATTGGGGCAGTCCCCCACCTCAGCCTGCTGGCCAGGCTGCTTCTGCTGCAGCCCAGGACACGGGTGGCTTTCTGGGCTGCGACTCCACATTTACCAGCTCACACACAGTTTTCACCCACCAGCACCATCCCAGATTGAGGATTTGGGTTATTAATTGTCCAGGAAAGTATGATTGTTCAGCTGGAAGGACGTGGACACTGCAACTCACTTCAATATGCTGCTCAGTTCTGAGAAGTAATGGGACACCAAGAATTCTTTGCCCTTTCTGGGCCATTATGATTCTGAACATAAAAGCATGTGGAACAAATTTCTCTAAGTAATTAGCATGCTTCTCACTGTCCCTGCCATTTGCATAAGTGTCCCCACACATGGAAGCCTGTGTAGACCACAAAAGCATCTGAATAACTGAGCAGAGGAACTGTACAGACCTGCGGTAGCGGGGACGGTAGGTAGGATTCCTGTGCACTTGCTGAAGTTGTCCTCCTTCTGTGACCCCATCCTTCATGTCTCCCTCACCACCCTGTGACCAAAATAAAACACAAGTGTTGTATTTGACAGGCAGTATATTAACCATAAATAAATCTGCATGCAAGATCAAAAACAATATATCAGTACAGAAACCCCAGCATACTGGGTAAAAAGAAGCAGCAGATTCTCAAAAGGCTTAAATTTGGGTAAACTTAAGATGAGGACAAAACAAGAGCCATCAGTGCTGCCCCTGCTCCTCACAGACTAAGAAGCTGTTCTTAGAAACACTCTCTGATGCATATTAAGTGCATTTCATTACACGAAATGCACTGTAAGGGGAATGCATTATGGGGAGGCAGCTATTGATCAGGACAATTCTGAATTTGGAAAGCTAACAAAGATATCACACAAACTTGCCACAGACCACATTCTACACAAAGCCCCATTCCACAGGGAACCCCCACAAACACATGCAGAAATTTTAAGACAGAAAAACTCTATTACCTCACATCAAATACTATTTCTACACAGTCTTTTCTATTTTTCAGAGATGCAGTGGTTATCCTTCCCCTTTAGTTGTTAATTGATAAAGCTGCATGTTGTTTTGGGTGGTGCTTTTTCTGGTTCGATTTTTGTTTGTGGTTTGTGTTTTAAATGCCAGCCATCAGTAATGTCCGTTTTATAAAATGTTACATGACTTATAGTTCCTTGTTGTATTATTCTTCCCTTTAAAAGAAGGAATTCAATGAGGTATCTAGAAACAGAAGTGCATCTTCTGCATCTGATCCAGTAGGAAGCAAAAGCTGTAGCCTCCTGACAGCCCTTAATAATCTACCATAAGTTTGACAGGTATCCTTCCCATTCTGCACAGCCATTTTAATCACCGTGACAATACACCATTAAAAACCCCACAGTCATCTGTGATGTTCTCTCATGTATAAAACTGACCAGGATAACTAAATATTCAAAGGAACTAGGATAGACAGTAGGAGCAGGTAGCATTTGACAGCAGTTGAGGTATAACTGAGAGACTCAGAACTCAAAAAAAATAATGCTTCTCAGTTTACAACAGCTTTATAGTACTTAACCACTTTGCAATACCAATCTGTTCTGCTTTTGTCAAGATGCCTTGTACACCATAACTTGGAAGTTTATTAGACCTATGTTGCACGGTCAGAAGTGCCTCAGACAGGTGAGAAACAGCCCTGCTAGTATTGTGTGTGGCAGCAGCAATCCAGGGAAATTGCACTCACACTCCGAGGTGGGCCCCGGCGTCGGCCAAAGTAGCCCCGGCGATAGCGGCGCCGGTCTGCAGCGTAGCGGCTGCCTTCCACGGGGACTCCATTTGGACCTGTGACATTAGCTGCTTCTGCACCCTAAAAGGACAAAAGAAAGGCTGCCAGGGTGGTGTGAGAAAAGAACCACCAGCTACAGGGAGAAGATGAAACAGGAAAGAGGCTTTTTTGCATAAATTCCAAGCTATAGTGATTCCTTTCTCCCACACAGGGCAAAAAGGAGGTTTTTTATTCCCATCCCCTTAATCAAGAGATATTATCATGAGTTAAAATACTCAACTCATATCCAATGGGCTGAGTTCAGAGGAGGAAGCAAGAAGGAACCAAGACAAAAATAACCCTCAAAAAATGTTCAATTTCCTTATGCTTCTACTTTCCCGAAAGTTCTTAGAGTTATTAAGCTACCAGACTCCAAGAAAAATTGTTCAGGGCAATACAGGCCTCAGTTAATAATTACTGAGCAGGTTGTAGGTTTCAAATGTTCTCTCAAGTAACAATTGCAGATTCTAGAAGCACTAGGATGCAGTTTCCTAGTAGCTTGGATACATATCTAGAAATATGCCTTTAATGAAGCCTTTAAAAAACAGATTTCCCCCAGAAAAGCTGTATGAATGCCACCAATCCAGTGATTAACACATCAGACAGACACAGCTGAAGTTGTGTGTGATGTTATCTGTTGGACCACAGCCTGAGGTTCCATGATCTCTCACCTTCTCTCCCTCGACCACATCAAATTCTACAGTCTCTCCATCGCCAACGCTGCGCAGGTACTTCCGTGGATTGTTTTTCTTTATCGCTGTCTTGAAAGGAAGATGCATAAAAATACCTTCTTTTATGTTACTTATTTTACACATTTATACCCCCACAGATGAGGGAAGGGCAGTATTTCTCTGCCTTCCAACTCTACACACCAGGGCAATCACCACACTAAGGTATTTCAAGTACACAGATGTCTCTTATTTCACAGGCCCACCAATACTCAGTTCAAGGTCTCCTCTTTTCTCACTATTTGAGTTTATAAATCAGCTGCTGCCCCAGGATCTGCTCTGTCCAGCACACTGAATATGGAAATTATTACAAATCTCTGCATGAACAGAGTTTGCACTCAAGTGTTTGATCTCCCCCAAGCTGTACCAAGGCAGCTCTAGCAGCAAGTGTGACCCCTGCCTTCAGTCATTAGGAGAGCTGTAGACCATCTAAAGAGAACTCAAGATGGAGAGCATTTCTATAGAAGCATTAACTACCTGGTATCATGGCAAGTCATAGTAACTAGAAAAGAATTACTGTAACTCTGGTGTAACAAATTAGCATTTTATCTAAGCACTGTAAATGAGACCCCCCAAGTATTAGGTGAGTCTGTGCGAACATAGTAACAGTACAGAACAGACAAATGCAATCTTAGCCATCTACTGAACAGAAATCCCAAAGTACTACAATAACAGTTATGACTAAATACTATTACTGTTATATAAAAATAACATGGATTTATATCAAAGCCAGTTGTACACCTCCTAAGACTCACAGGAAACACTCAAGCCTCCTGGAGCGATTTTCAGTCTGTCAGCTACAAACACCTTGCTTGTACTCTGTGGAGTATTTCTAGCACTTCACAAAAAATTGTTAGCAACACAAGCCTATGGCCTTTTCATTAGACAAGGCTTTACAAACTGGAAATGCCAGGGAGAAAAGACCAAGGCATGCATTGTACAAGCTAATCCAGTAGCTATTTTCTTACTGAAAGATTATTATCTTGCATTAAGTTATTTAAGACCAATTCACATTAAATTTCCTGATGTGAGAACTTTTAGTTAGCAAGAAGGAGAGAGGTGCAGAGAGAAACACAGGGCATAAATCCAGCTTAAGAAATGGGATGTAGGGCAGACACAGAAGAGCCAGTTGTCCTATCTGTCTGCAGTTCAAGAAAAACTGCAGAATGACCATCAGTGGAGCTGTTACCTTTGCATAGCAACAATATTTAGTCAACAACAGCCCCAAAATATTTCCAACTGAAGGAAAAATTTATTCAGTTTAAAGTTCATCTTGACTAGTCTAGGAAACCTATTTTCCTTGCTGCTGAATACAATCTCCTTTGTGTTTCAGGCAACAGACCAGCATGTCCTTCTAGCCATACCTTTCCCTATATCCTGCAGCATCCCTGAATGGCCTACAGAACGATGCAAGAGCACACATACTTATTACTATCAAAGCAAAAACATCCCAAGAGGTTTGGAGTTTTTAAAACAGAAACAGGATGAGCTGTTCAAGTCAATTCCTTTGGGAATTACTTATTATCTCAAACAACTGTTTGCTTTCTGTTGACCTTTTAGTGTAACTGTCCCATTTCTAAAAATTAGATACAAGTGTTTGCTTTTCCATAAATGTTGTATACTAGAAGTAAAACCCTTAATCTGCAGCAAAGTTAATGATTTAGTACTATTTGTACTGAAACAACTGACTAAAACTTCTAAGACTTGTGCTTTGCATGTGACAGAGATGTCAATAAGCTGTATTTCAAACTCCTTCCCCTTCCCTGTAAGTGCAGAAGAAGAAAGGACTAACAAGTTTCTTTTCAGCAGAAGGTACACTTGAGATTGATGAAGCTCCTCAAATATCCTTCAAAAAGCATAATGGAAGATAAAAGCAACAGTATTCCACATGTTCTGTCCCCAGCTTTATGGGCAGAAACTTCAAGGATCCAGATCTGAAATTGTCAACAGGAGGTTGCAGTAGGCTGGAACTTGTTTTACAAAGGCAATCAGAACAACCTCGAGTAAATCCTAGAAATCCAAGCAAAAATACAGCTTTACTACTTCAGCTGCAGATAAACATCACTGAAATAAGCCTCTAACAAGCCTAAACTCTAAGCCTGATGAAAAGACTTTTACTCTGTATCCAGAGGGGAAAGAGCACTATTCTCCCTGTTACTGTTTACCAGCATCCTGCAGGCTCCAGCTTCTCTGATTCAGAAGACAGATGTTTCATATTAACAGAACACTCAACAACAAAACCTTTCCTTTCCCAGGGGGAACACCGATGAACAGGGAGCCAGAAGAGCCTCCAGAGTTAGTTCAGGTTCTTGTTTGGAAGAGTTCTTTCCATATGCTCATACCACCACATCATCAGCATATCCAGCATTGTCCCAGTAACAGCCAAAATTTGTTACACAGATTCCTGGTGCAGGTACTTCAGGCTGTGCATGATCAACACAATCCAGTGAAGTGAAGAGAAAGAGAGATTAACTCCTCCTCTCAGCTTGTTGATTTAAACTGTACCTAATTAATTGTAACTGCTCTGGCTGCTGACACTTTTCCTGTTGTTAAATTGCAAGACACACTGCAGCCCACGAGGCAGATGGATCCCTTCTGCTCACAGCACCTGTAGCTGACTGACACAGTGCCCAGGACAGCACCTTGCACCAACCAATCAGACAGGGACGCAAGGTGAAGAACTACCCTTCCCAAAAACACTGCCTGGGGCCCCTGCAAGACAAAGGGTTAACTCAAAGCAAGCCATGCATGCCCTAAAAAGAAAAGCATTTTAATCTGTACTAGTTATAAATAGTATCCAATAGCCAGACACCAGGCACTAACCCCCATTTCAATCATGAGGTCGGCCCGTTCCCTCCCCGTGCGGATGCACGCAGGGGAGGCAGGGAGAAGCTGTATCTATTCAACTAGGTCAGCCTTATTCTGAAGGGATTAGGAGTGTAATCCAGCCCCTCCCAGCACGAGGGAGGGGCAGAGCAGGCACTATCAGCGCAGAGGGAGCTTGAAGCAGGATGTTTGCTCACAGCATGGATTTGCTTCCCTCGTTGGCCCCATCAGGAGCTCTGGCCAGAAGTCCCAGGCTCTGGGAACGAGCACATCCATGTAGAGGATAAGGAACATCCAACTGCTGCCAAGTTAGAGCAGCACTAGAAGCATCTACTCTGCCATGCTCAGCCTGCCAAGAGGGTTAATCCGATGCAGGCCTGCACATGATGTGGTATTCCTGAAACAAAGCCAGTTTTGCTCACCCCGAAAGGACTTCAGCCACAGGAGATGGGAAGTGCCCACCCCTCTCCACACACACACAGTAGTTCACATTTAGGGGAATAATCTTCTCTAGAGGTGTAGGAGACAAAACGGCACAGATTACACTAGCTTTCTGTTTGGGTCTCAGCTGGCAGCCTTCCTAAGCAGAACAGCACTGATCCATGTTATCTGTCATCAGCACAACAGCCATTTTCCAGGATATTGTCTCACAAGTATCAAGGAAACCTTATTTGTCTTTAAGGCAGCACTGCCTATCCAGAGCATCTTTTCTCTTCCAGAATTGTTCCCACTCTCCTCAGGACACAGTGCCATCAGACCACAGATGTGTCACCATGCCCACAGCACAGGCTGCTAAGGAAGGAAAATCACCATCAGAAATCAGTATATGCATTGACAGTTCTTGCTCTCAAGCCCACCAGCTGAACCAGGAACTTGTACTGTGCACACTTCTCAACATCACTTTCTCTCACAACAGGCACTAGATTTATCCCCTTCCAGCTTCAGCCAGGTTCAGATAAGGGGTGTACACCCTATGACCCAGACAAACAGTTACCACTGTTACCACTATTTAGTCATCAAGACACAAGAACTAAACTAACTCTCAGTGTTGACTCATCAGCTAAGGATATATACACATATCCTCATCTACAGTGACCAGCTCTGGGAACAAACTTCCTGGTTTCATTTGATAGAAATACTGTCACTTACACCACAGAGAAAGTTCATGCTTTCAAAGATCACATGAGCCTGCAGACATTTTATATGGGACAAACTCTAGGGGCAAGACTGCAGTTTCTGGTGAATGATGCAAAACCAGATCTAAGCCAACTAATCAGTTGACATCAGCATGGAGACAGCATCCTCTGTCTTGCCATTATTTGCCTGCAACCTGAGAGTCACAGTATAAACTTAGAACAGCCTCCTGACAGCTCAAGGAAAGTTAACCAATAACAAGCCACTGGGCAAGCTCTCTCTGCTTGGGCACACTTGGCACACAGCCTTCCTCCTCTTCTGCCTAAGAGCAGCTGCCTCATGCAGAAACAGCTGATGGCAACCCATGCTGGTCAGGAGCCAGACTAGATCGCTTTCTCTTCAATACCAGGGAGGGCAGACAGAACAGACCTGCAAGGAAAGAGGGTGGGAAAAAACAACAGACGCAAGGAGCATGAGGAAACAGGGGGAAGGAGAGCAGCAAGGTATTCACAGAGGAGTCATCTCACCAAGGGGAAACAACCAGACAAAAACCACACCAAAAAAAAACACCTTTAGTGTTCAAATTAGAGCAGACAAAAAAGGTTAAGAAGGGTTAAAATACCTAGCCCTTCATAGAGAAGGAAAACAACCTAGTATTTCTCCCTGAAATTTTCAATATCCACATTCACTCAAGTTATCTGCAGAAAATATTCTAAGGAGAAGCCAGGACAAGGGTGGGTAGCTGTTGCAGGAAGCTGCATTAGAAACCTATCATAGTACACATCTCTAAGCAGAATTATTGCTGTCTTACCTGATGAACAAACACATCTTCTTTGGTATCATTTCTGTGAAAAGAAAGTGGGACGTCATAAGAGTTTAGACTAAATAGACTTAACTAGAAGTCCCTGGCTTTTCAAGTGAAGCCCTCCTCTCAGCCTGTAGCACATGCTCTGAATTCCATACATTCTGTCTAAGCCTATGCTACCAAAACCCTGCTCTGAACTTCTATAGTCATTTTGCTTGAGAACAGAAAGGACTCCTGGGCCTTCAAAAGCATGAGAGGATGAGGGAGGTTCTCTGTAATCTCCTGGCAAACATTCTGTGTTTTCTTTTTATGCAGGGCAGAGTTGATGACTGGACTGCTTGTTTTTTACTACTCTAACTCCCCAAAAACACTTCCAGAGGGACTGCAACCTGAGCTGTTACCCCAGAGGTCAAACAAGACTACCAGCAGGACTGGCCACAGCTGTTAAGAGGGATCTCCTTTCAGTGAAACTCAAAGCAACTAAGCACAAGAGGTGTTAGGAGAGTCCACAGGAGGAGGCCTCAGACATGAATGTGAGGTTTTCTGGATTAGGCCAGACAGGTTTCCACATGTAAAACACAAAGATAAGTCTGAGACCTTGAATGTGTGTTCCCATACAATAAAAGAGCCTAAGCCCTGCCATCTGTTCACTCAATTCCTTCACAGTAAACAAAACAGGTGGGTGAAAGAGTTTGTGAAGATAATGCATAATCCAAATTTGTTGTCCTGGATTGAAGCAACATTAGACTTCACATTAGGTAGAAAGCTAACAAGTTATTACCCCACAACCAGCTGAAGGCTCTTACATCAACTACTATTACAGATTTTAAGAGGACTTCCTAATTAAAACTTTTCTTCTAAGCTTATATAACACTGGATAATAACCATCAGAGACTGAGATTAACACCACACCACCACTGGCTTCAGATCCATGAACGTGGGGTCTTCTACCCCTTTCTGCACTGTCCAATTCACCCAAATCTACCTGATGTATAAAAACTCAGGGACTTGCAAAGTGAAATAACTTGCCAGGTATGTTTTTTTGGAAGACAAGTGTTCAGCATCCAGTAGTTTCATCCCTCAAAAAAAGCACACAGGACATTTAAGTCCCTCAACTCCAAAGATATCTCGGCCTTAAAAGCCACATTTTCCTCCAGCAAATTGGAAGCATGGGTCTTCTGCACCTAAGGTTGCAGTGTGATCAATCTCACCTCCAGCTGTTTGGTTCTCAATGCTTTCATAGGTTTGTGCCCAGAGAAGAGGGAAAAATCCAAAAGATACAAAGAGAATTCCTATGCAACTCAGGCCTGGCATATTTTCAGTGAGATACTTTTAGAGAATCTCAATGAGTATCCACAGGAGGTATTCTGACCAAGCAGTTAACACCTGAAGTTTACCAAAAAGTATTTCCCCTCACTCTCCTACCTTTCTCAGGCCTTCAAAAAAAGCCAGGCAGTCGCTGAAGAATATGCAGCTCATTAAGAGTGTAGTAGAAGTAAATATGAGAAACAGGTAACAGACCAAATCTGTAGTGAGTTTGACCCTTTCTGTTGTCTCCCCATAAACACAGCCTTTGACTGGGGGCTGAGGTGTTTAAGAAAGTTTGCTGAGTGCCTGGCCTAAGCTATCAACTGCATTAACTTGTAGTCAGGTCCTGAGGTCTCTGTTGCAATTAGTAACACCTAGCCTATCGTGTACTACTAGTCTTAGCATAAATACAACTATCAGAATTTAAACATACCTGTTGATAAAGCCATATCCATTTCTGACATTGAACCACTTCACTGTGCCAAGAACTTTGGTGGCTGGAAAGAAAATTAAAGAAGTTACTCTAAAATATAAGAAAGTACAATAATGTTATATAAATACTTCAAAAATAGCATATGAAATTGCAACCAGACTTATTCTGTTCCCTTAACACTCCAAGTGTGCTTTCATCTCCTAGTTCATTCTAATGCAGCAACAAGACACAGTTCAGCTGTTCTTCAGCCAAGGGTTGACCACACAGCACAAAACCTAGCTCTGTTTTCACAATTGACCATCCATCCCTTTTTTTCTTATCCCAGAAATGGGCAGCAAAGCTGAAAATCCCATTGCCGTTCATCAGGTCTCTTTAGGTTAGTAGCTGGATATGAAACATAGCTGAAGGAACCTGTTTAGAATGCCTCTCACTTACAGTTACCCTTCTTTCTTCCTTGGAAACCAGAACTGCCCAAAGAAGAAGTATCAAGTACTGTGCAACCCTCTCAAGTGGAATGCAGTACATCCTTATTCTGGAAAAGCTCCTTCTTGTATTGCCAGCATCACGCTAACCAAGTAAGACCCCACATTACTTTTTTTTTTTTTTTTTCAGTACTCCTATTGCTAAGATGATCTGATTGCTTCCTTACAAAGTGATTCAATTTTACATTCCATGACTTTCAGGATCAAGGCAAGCTCCTCAACAGTAAAACAGCATCTACTTAGAAGCCACACTGCAGTGCCTTATAGGACCTGGCAAAACCTGTTTCTCCAACTTATAGGAATGTGTAGGAGGAACTGTGAGTCGAGGCAGTTCAACCCCTCCTTACCTCACAGCAACTGGATGGACACCACAAACTTGTACTTTTCAAACTTCTAGTAAAAGGAGAGTTTTAGCCTCTATAATTTAAGAGCTGTTACTTGTTAACGCAGCTTGATTACAACTACCTAGCAACCTGTGGCAGTACTTACTTGAAAAGGGTCTCATCACCTACAGATGACTGTTTGCTAAAAACCTCACATACATGTTTTGGAGGTGGCAGGAACCCAAGAGGCAATTAAAAGGAAAACAGATGAGAGAATGTCCAGTTTAGAAGTCCAAGCCACTCTGCTAGAGGCAAGAACACACTGTAAATTGGTACCTTCATCTACTCTACACCTGTATTCTTTTCTAAATATTCACAGGGAGATGAGAGACCTAGCCAGACCTTGGGTCTCATGGAGTCTTGCCATTTTCATACATCCCTCAAGTAAGAGCATCTGACAACAGCAGTGCACTGTAGCACTGCTGCTGTTATTACTGTCAGTAACAGGCACTTTCTCATTGCCCTTTTAGAAGGGAAGTTTTTGGTGTCCATTAATACACTTTTTAGTAGAAAATGTTCTCATTCAGAGGCAGTGAAGTCTTAGTATGACTGAGATTTAACCGAGAAAAAAAGGACTCTGCCTAATACAACATACATTCCCAAGAATTCTTGTTTACTGGAACAGGAAAACATTGCTTCAGTGCCCAACACTGGTTCAGTAAACAGTGTTCAGCACCAGTATTTATAGCTGTGCTTTTAGTTTCATAGGGACATCACCACATACGGACACTTCCTGCTGCCACAATGGCATTGGCTACAGGAGCTCCCTGCACTGACACAAGTCAACAGGAGGGGACGGGGGAACACAGAAAGAGTGCCAAAAGTACCTGCAGGTTTCAGCCTGTTCTGAGAAACAGTGCCAGTACCACTGCCTCCCTCAACATCATCCTTTCCCTCCCCTGCAAAACAGCTCTGGAATCTGCTAGCCTACTTGAACCAGATTAGGAAGAAGCCTAGGAAGTATGACAAAAACCCTCAGAGGGGTTAAGAGGCTGAGGAAGGAGAGGCAGTCAAAACTCATTCTGAGGGCAGTTGGCTGTTGCTAAGTGGAGGAGTACACACACTGTTTAAAAACAACATTGTTCCAGGAGGGAGACTCCAGTATATTCCCCCTAACACAGTGTGCTAGAGACATTCCCTGCAGATGTTTACAGTCTCCCCTAAGTATCACTGCAGGCCAAAACTCAGGCAACAGCATGACACTGAACATCCATGGCACAGTCACCGGTAAGCCTGAGCAGGGAAGTCTGGCCAGGAGGAAGACAAGTCCAGTGGAAAACACAATAACCAGTTAAACTGATGACTCACAGAAGGCAGTAGATGCACTGACGTACGTCCCACCAGCAAGTGGAAGCCCACATATTTCTACAAGATGCTGTTCTCTGATGCTATCAGAGGAAACAATCATCAGCCACTCCCACCCATGACAAAATAGCCTTTCAAAAAGGAGAGCCAAAGCTTCCTGTGACCAGGAGAAAAGAGAAAGCAGAGTAACCTTCACCCATATTCCTAGAAGTCAGATATTTGGATGCCCCAAGCAAGAACAAGACTTTGCTTCTAATGGGATCTCTGTAAAAGAAGGCTTAAGTGAACATAACTACATGGGTGACCATTAACGGCAAGGCACGATGGAAAGAAGGACTTGAATGTAAGTCCATTTCCAATTAGCATTTTACAGTGATCAATTTTCTCAACATTCCTAATAAAAAGCTTGCCTAGCAATAAGGCCATTTTGCAAAACCATCACCACGGTGGTTTTCATTTTCCTGCTAGTTCAGGAAAAGGACTTCTACCTTCACTTCCCCCTATCCTTTCTCTCCAAGCAATAGGAAAAGATGAACAAGGTAAAAACGTTACCAGGAACGGAACAAGCCACATTAAGGCAAGAAGTAGCCAGATATACCAGCAGATATGGATGCGCTGATTCCTGTGTACTAATTACCGACAAATGAGGTAACGGGGGAAAAAAAAGAAACACACAAGCTGTGCCTTCAATCTGTTTTGACAGAATTCTTCCTAACTCCAGAGAAATCCTTTAGCTGGCTTCTCTCTCTTGCAGCAAGACCTTAATCTTCCCCTTCAGAAGAGAAGGTCCTGTGTATCCTTAAGGAAATTTGGGACTCTACACTGTAAGTCAGCTTCAACTTTGCCTTCACCAAACCCTCGGAAGTTACACAGTTAGAAACAATACACCCCTATCGGCAGTAGCCTACAGATTGAAGTCCTGTCCTTTTCAACAGGTTGATCCTATTAAATCACAATGAAAAAGAGTCACACTTGCTATGCACTGGGCTTGAGCAGACAAGGCAACATGACATTTCGTTTGCATTTTTGATAATAAAGTAGAAACTAAATCCCACCCCTCAAAACAAACCCCACTAAACCTGGAAGCGCTACTAAGGCAGTATTCTTTATGCACAGAAAAGTTGTGCCACGACTTTAAGATTAAGGAGACGCACACATGGTTTCCAGCAGCCCTTCCCGACGGAGATGCCGCCGGCAGGTACCGGGAAGCGGCTGATCCCGGCTGTGCCGCGCTCGCTGTCCCGCACGCTCGGGGCCGATGAGGCTCTCCCGGGCTCCCGCCCAGCTCCCGAGCGCGTCACGGCCGGCGCCGCGCGGCTCCCCCGGCCCGCGCGGGCGGAGGAGGAGGCGGCCCGGCCTGACTCACCGCGGGGGGGGAGGGGGGGCAGCACGCCAGCCCGGGCTAAGGGCGGCGGCGGGCGGACCCCCTGCCCCGCTGCAGGTGCGCCGCGAAGTTGGGAGCGGGGCCCGCTACTCACCCAGCACTTTCTTCGCCGACTCGGCCGCCGAGGTTGTGGTGGTGGTGGCGGCGGCACCGGGAGCCGCCTCAGCAACAGCCGCACCCGGCGCGGCGGCGCTCTTGGGAGCGGCGTCCGGGGCGGCGGGCGCAGGCGGCGCGGCAGCAGCAGCCGCGGCCGGGACGGGCGGCGCGGCGGGCGCGGGGCTGGCGGCGCTGGTCTCCGGCGCCTCGCTCATGGTGGCGGGCTGAGGTGTTGGGTGCTCGGCCGCGCTCGGTCTTACTACCCCCAAAATGGCCCCGCCGAAGTTTTAACACAGTCAGCGGGGGCCGGCGCGGCACGCGCGCCGCCTCATTAGCATTTAAAGGGGCCGCGCCGACAGCCAGCGGGCGGTGTCGGGTGTGCGTCCCGTGTCGGCACGGCACGGCACGGCACGGCACGGCACGGCACGGCACGGCACGGCACGGCACGGCACGGCACGGCACGGCACGGCACGGCACGGCACGGCACGGCGGAGAGAATCTACAATCTACAACTCAATCGCACGCAATCTGCAACTTCTTCGTGAGGGGAGGAGGCTCTGATCTCCTCCTGGGACAGGACCCAGGGAACGGCTGGAGCTGTCAGGGAAGGGTTAGGGTGGATATCAGCAGAAGGTTCTTCCTCCAGAGGTAGTGGGGCACTGAACAGGCTTCCCAGGGCATGGTCGCAGCCCCAAGGCTGCCAGAGCTCCAGGAGCGTTTGGACAGTGCTGTCAGGCACAAGATGGGAGTGTTGGGAACAGTCTTGCACAGAGCCAGGAATTGGACTTGATGATCCTTGTGAGTCCCTTCCAACTCAGGGCATATCCCATGATAGGGGAACACGGCATTGCACGGCGTGAGTGGACGCTCTCCGGCCGCTTGTCCGTGCCTGTCAGTGCGGACACACACGGCCACAGACAGGTCTGTGTCTGTGTCTGTCTGTGTGTCCGTGTGTCTGTGTGCGCGGCCCCGCGCGGTCCCTGAGGGGCGGTGCACGGGCGCGGCGCTGGAGGGAGATTGCGCGGGGGCGCGCAGGGATCCTCCTGAGGGTGTTTGGGGTCCGGGTGTTCTGTGCGAGGTAAGAACGCGGTGCTGAGGGGCTGTGGGGCGCTGAGGGGGTGCGGGTGTCGCTGAGGGGATGCAGAGTGTCGTGAGGGATGCAGGTGTCGCTGAGGGATTCAGGAGTCGCTGCTGAGGGATGCAGGTGTCGCTGAGGGATTCAGGAGTCGCTGCTGAGGGATGCAGGTGTCGCTGAGGGGCTGCGGATGTCGCTGAGGGAGTGCGGGTGTCGCTGAGGGGGTGCGGGTGTCGCTGAGGGGCTGTGGGGCGCTGAGGGAGTGCGGTGTGTGTGCATTGGTCACTCCTATTTCTTCCCACTTTTCTCCCGTCGGCACTTTCATTCCCGCGGAATGAAAGTCCTCCAGTTCCCAACCCCCAAGGCATTTAGTTTTCACCCCTGCTGTCTCGCTGCTGCCTCATTTCGCTGCCACTGCCCGATATCTTTCTCAGCTCCTTGCCTGTGTCTTCTTCCTTTTCCCTGTCCTTCTGCCAATTTTTGTGCAGCCTCCACGAGTGTAGTTTTGGTGATGTTTCTACTCTTTTGCATTTGGCACACACCATCACCCCATCTTTATTCCACATTCTCCCCATATCACTTTCTGCTTATATCCATCATTTTCTCCCAGACGGATGCCTGAACTGGAGCATCCGGGACAGGTCCTTCTCCACTTTTTCCACAGGCAAGGAAAAAAGTGTTTCTACACGCACAAAGTTTTGCCTTACTTCTCTGTATACCTGAACACTCAAGGGCACGGTCCTGGTTGTTTTTTCCCTTTATCCGCCCTCCTGATCTCCACTTTTCAACAATTCCTTGGCAGTTCTTACAGCTAAAGTGAAGGTCTTTGGAGAGCATCCTTTGCTGAACATCCCTGAGACAGCAAAGCCAGCTGCTATTACAGTTCTCCTCACTGCATCCCACTGTACACATAAGAAACAATATATATTATTTTATCCCATAGCTTTTAATCCTAAATGCTATGTTCATTACATTACTTTAAGAATATATCACTCTGTTTCCTTTTTCATTTTTCAGGGTACCTGAAAATTTCTAAGAGGGTGCTCATTGGAATTAATGTCAAGCGGATAGCTTAATTATGTTATGGCAAATGTATGATCAAGACACTGGCATGCACTTGATACGTCAAATTTATTTTCAGTTAGAAAGTTATTCTTCAGTTAGAAGTTGTTAGTTGTTAGTTAATTTTTCCTTCCAAAAGTTAATTTTAGAGTTTACTGAAAAACCCATTCAACAAAAAAACTACAGTATACAAGCTGTGAAATGTACTGTGACAGAAAATTGCAATTTTCCCCTGGGTTTTTTCTTTTATTTTAATATGGGGGGAAAAAAGTATTATAGCGTAATCTCATTTTTCCTTTTCTTGCTGCCAATTTAGAATATATTTCCTCTGTTCCAGTATTCAAAGTCGTTTCACGAATTATATTGGAAGAAATTAATCAACCAACTCAGGTAACAAAAACTTTTGCATCGGGAAAGTATTTGCTGCCTCTCTACATTCTCTGAATACTTCCCATAAACTTGATGTAAATAGATCTTAGAACAATACAGAATCACAGATTGATTGAGACTGGCTTGTCCTTCAAGCCAATCCAGGAAATCCAAGATTAGTTACTCCATACATATTTCTTAATTAGATGATCACAAATCCCTCTCTCACAGGATGCTGCCTTTTTCCTTTTAAGCAAATGAGCTGTTTTGCAATAGTCCCTTTCATCCTCCTCACTTGATGTGCAATTATTCAACATATTATGTCGCCCTCAGTCTGGATTCTCTTCTTTCTCCAGGATCCTGTGGGGATTGAACCAAGCCCAGTGAATTTGGAGTGCTGAGAACTGGCAAAAGCATCCCATATGACTTCTGGATCCTACAGATGGAGTTTCTTTGGTAATTTATGGATATGAATAACTTTTTGTGTTTATAAGGTGGGTCTCAGGGTCTGCTGAGTAATCTGAAGGGAAAAACAGAATTCCTGAAAGTTTTACATGGTAGGGGATATGCAAGGTGCCTGCAGGTCTGGAGCAGGACACACTAATCCCACAAGGTAATGCAAAGACAGATTGAACTCCCAGATTTTGTAATTAGAAAACGTGGTGTTCATCAAAACAAAAACATTTTGCAGATACAAATCGATTTCTGTAATTGTATTTATTGGGGAAGAAAAAAAGATAGATACCACCTTTCAATAAAGAAGAAAGGTTCTATTTCAACAATTGCAAAAATTAACATTTCAACACAGCATTTCCAAATAATTTCATGTACTGAAATTATTTCACCTAATACAAAAATTATGCTGAATATTTTTTTCTTTACAGTAAACAGTAAAGCGTGTAATATAAATTACATTTTATATTGTCAAGAGCTGCTTCTCAAGAAACATATTTAATATTGGAATGGAGGCAGTTTTACAAAATCTGCTGAGCTGTTTTAAGGATTGGGGTTTTTTGAAGACTTTCATTACGGGGGAAAACCCCAAATCTGACACTGACTTTCATAGGAAGTATTGTGAATTCTTTAATATAAAAGGAATCAAAATTGTTTGTAGATTAAATATCTGCAGGGTCCAGCAGTCAAATGCAAAATCTACCGACCAGATGCTTCAGAGTAAGACATAAGAGGCAGGTAAAGGACATACTTCCCTTTAAAGGTGGGAGGTGATCTGGGAAAAGGTAACAAAGTTACTGTCACTGTTCCTTGGTTTCCAAGTTGATCTGCAAGCACCTCCCAGCCCACTCTGAGAAACACCAAGGTGAGCCTGGGAAATAAAATGTCTAGTGGACAATTTATGAGAGAATTCTGCAAACTGAGATCACACTAGTCAAGAATTGTAGGCAAAATAAATTAACAAAATACTTCAAAATTTGGATATGTTAAGTGGGTATAAAGTGCTCTACATACATCTACTCCTTTGTGGGGAATGTAGAACAATCCATCCTAAAATAACCCAGAGCTTGGCATTAACCTGGGAATTGTTGGATTGAATTCACTCTGCCACACAGAGGATGTGTTTCAGACTTGAAGTACTCAAGAATTATTGTTCATAAGCAATTTTGGATCCTTCCAAATGGAAGGATTTAAAGGATTGCCATGAGGATTTGTGTGTTGCAGGAAAAACTTCTGAGCAAATAAATGTTGAGTACCTGTCTGGCTGTGATACATGAAAAACCTGGTTCCAAAGAGTTGGAAGACATGAAACTGGAAAAAAAAGGTGATCATGATCCTGTTCCCTGCCTGCTCCTTTGTCCCTGCTCCTGCCGAGGCTCCTGGTGTCATCTGAGGGGTTACGGTGACATAAGGCAAATGCACAGTAGGTGGTGTTGTTCTAGCAGAGTGTAAGGTATGGCTGCAAGGACCTGATCAAAACAAGAATTAGCTCTCCAGAGCACTGAACTGTGTGGTGAGAGTCACACTGGCTTGCTCACGGATATTTTTTTATTTCCCATTTTAAACAGACTGGTTGCCAGCCAGCTGCTGGCTCTGTGAGGAGGCAAAGGAACGGGATGAGTGTGTTTGCAAAGGGCTTTGCAAGTGGTAATTTATGGGATAGTCACAAACAAGTGTATTCCAGGGTACCTAAATTTCACCTCAGAAATCCCTTCCTCAGCCGCTCACGCTGACCGCAAAGCAAATCTTTACCAATAATTCGTACAGCACAGAGAGCACACACACTGCTGCACTGAACAGGGTTTGCCTGCACTACCAAATAAAAACTGAGACTGGCAGAACCCATCACCTCCCTACTTGGTCAGGGCACACAAGGATGAACTGCGAGCAGCTGCCAGAGATCTGCAGGGAGCCTTGGTCTGAGGTGGGGATCAAACCCCAGGCAGAGGCTTGGCCTGAGCAGCTCAGCTCAGAACTGCACACGCTGCCTTCAGCCCTCCAGCATCTCTTGGAAATGGCCTTTCCCTTGGATTTCATGGTTATTTCAGAAGCCATTGCCTGGCTTTGCAATCTTTTCCAAAGGTACAGCCTGTGTGTCACTATGGGAGGTACGATGCAGGAAGGAGCAGGGGCAGAACGGCAACCGGGGCCGGGTCGGCATCGCAGTGGGGTCGGCATCGCAGTGGGGTCGGCTTCAGGCCGCCGAGTGGTACCACACCAAAGATGGCGGCCCGGCCGGAAGTGGCTTCTGCCAGC